CACTGCCTACCGTCTAGATAACGCTATCTCGGCTTCCCGGGTAGCAACTTATGATTTTATAACAATTTTCTGAACTCGGATTGGCGACGGAGAATGTTTACTTGTTTGTATTCCATGGACAAAATCTTCTCGGTACTAGGCCTTTCTGTTTCGTTTTAACGATAATTAAACTTTGCAATATTGATATATTTGGATATCATACTTTTTTTAAAATCTATATAGCTGACACTTGTTCGTTTATGATAATATCACGTTACTTATAAACACTTTTCGTTCATATTTTTACTTTTGTAAAATTCTCAACATGCTTTTAAATCTGAGTGACAGTTTCTGAGGATTTGTTTTTTGTCAAATCACAAATATTTCATGAAATATATAGAGGGGAAAATGATGTTTTAGGAAAACTTTATATCTAAGATCACCTTACCACTGCATCAACTGGAGTTTTGTTTGGAAATTTGCTTTCACCAGTGTGACAATAGTTAAAATGTATCATTTCTAAAAAGAAGCCATACCTTGTAGAACTTTCATGAGAAAAAATAATCTATCTGAACATAAATGCGATGGGCCAAAGTAGCCGTCAGTTTACGTCTACTTCTTTTAATGATAACTGTTTACTGTATAATTTCGATGCCATTTAAACCTTAAAAATACTTTTCGCTGAGCTCATATTCATTTGCTTTGGACATTTGAAGGCACTATGCAAGTTAAATAGAAAAAAACGTGCTATTTCTTCAATACAGAAGGACAAAATCCAATTTTGATACCAGTACACAGCAACAGGAAGTTGTAAGAACTTGTGCCCAATCCTTTTTGTCATTTTCAAGGCAAGAAAAATATGTTTAAACCAACAGGAAGTGTGTCGACAACGAAGCAAAAGAAATGAAATTATTAACCACCACAAACAAGAGGCCCACGGGGCCTTAATGCTCAAGTTCAGATAAGTTCAAGTAAAAATATCTCCGCCGATCAGAGGTCACGTATGCAATCTTTCATTTTCGGATCGAAAGGAAACTACACAATAATTATACACAATTTGGAGATATTCGGTGATGTCACTATCGAGAAATAGTCGAAAATGTCTTGGCAAATCAAAGGATATGGCAGCATTATGGATTTTCTGATCGAAATTATAGATAAAACCAACCTGGGAGGAACATATTTAAGAATATTTACATCGTGATTGGAATAAATCAGTTTAGTGGTTCTAAAGAAGAAGTTGAACATGTATTTTGTTGATTCGCGAAATACGACGGACGACAAACGACAGGCGAAGACAGATGGTATGAGATTTTCTGTTACACACGTCTTGCCCGTCATTACTTATATTTCCCTTCAAATCCAAGAGTGTAGGTAATAAACTGAGCCATGGTGGGAAAATCTTAAATCGTGGTTGATGCTGACATCGTAGATTGGGAAAAGAGTTCTCGATGACGATAATAAGATTGCTGCAGCGTAGATTAAATAGTCCCTGGTAGACAACCCTGCTGAAGTATCTTATCAGTCAATAGGACACATCTTCATGTACCTAGAACATCCGTATATTCAGATCATGATTCTGATAGCGAATAATGGAGGCTGGAATGTTTCTACGGACGAAAATGTGATAAACGGAGGTCAATCTTAAGTCATATTTTTGTCTTAGAGCCTGGTAGTGTTATACTGATCCTCAGATTCCTTGATACAAATGAAAAGTCTGAAATACATTATTGAAATTAAAGAATTACCGTAGGCGAAGGATACTCCTGATCAACGTACGATAGCAGATTATTAGCGATAAGGGTTAACACGAAAGCGAAAATACACTTTCGCTGTATCAGGATATCAGAACGATCACCAAAACCACAAAGTGTTAAGTCTGGCATGTATTAGATGCTATCTTTTTGATTTGTTCGTTAGTCAAACGTTGATTTGACATTAAAAGAAAACCTGCTGCTTTGTGATAATGTTATGTAACAATGCATAATCTAAAAAACATCTACACCAATAAAAATTGAAACGTGTACTTAGTCAAATAAATATATGTAGTCATTGATTGTATACATAGTAGAATGTGTACGCTGCCACGGAGCGAACATTGACGTGACTGGTGTAAACCTACGGCTGATATAGGCCTTCGTACATCTCTTACACATAGACTTTGATAACGTCGCCTCGTTGTGCAATTAACGCAGTGTTACTAAAGGTCATACGGAGCTTTGACCTTTGTGTTTGCCAAAGACATACATTGCTGAGCGATTCTACGACCTGTCTATAATGTTTTATAAAACCTGTGACTGATTAGCCGATAACTGAACGAATTTATTTGCACTTATTTATATATATGGCCCTTCGAGATAGTTGTTTCAGGGACGGTATCTCTTGACCATTGTAAATAGCAAAGTCACAATAAGGTCTCTTAATAATTGAAACTAACAATGTTAAAAGGCGTGTTTTGACTTTGGGATGTAAAAATATGCTTGTAATTATCTAAATTCTTGAAAAAATAAAGTCAAAAATTGTGTTTTGACCTGGGGAGGTAAAAACAGACTAACGATTATCTAAATCATTGGAATTAAACAAAAGAACAATTCAAAAAGATTTGTGTGTGACATTTGGAAGTATCAATATACAGATTATGTATCGTGGGCATAGTCAATAGTTAAATTATTTTGATTTGAGTTTAAAGACTTTCTTTCTTTTATTAACTTTGTATATATTTGCATGAATATACAGATGCTTCCTAAATATTGTGAAACTTTCAGAAAATATAGGTAAGTTTGTTGTTACTAATGACCGGTGATGTTGTAGTTTTACTTACATATATGTATGATAGGTACATTTTTTTTTTATATTAATGACAGGTAAGATTGTAGTTATACAAATGACAGATAAGTTTGCAGTTCTAATAATAACAGGTAAGTTTGTAGTTATACTAATGATAGGTAAGCTTGCAGTTCTAATAATGACAGGTAAGTTTGTAGTTATACTAATGATAGGTAAGCTTGCAGTTCTAATAATGACAGGTAAGTTTGTAGTTATACTAATAACAGGTAATTTTGTAGTTCTACTAATAATAGGTAAGTTTGTAGTTCTTCTAATAAGAGGTAAGTTTGTAGTTATACTAATGATAGGTAAGCTTGCAGTTATACTAATGATAGGTAAGTTTGCAGTTCTAATAATGGCAGGTAAGTTTGTAGTTATACTTATGACATGTAAGTTTGTAGTTATACTAATAACAGGTAATTTTGTAGTTATAATAATAACAGGTATGTTTGTAGTTATAATAATAACAGGTAAGTTTGTAGTTATACTTATAGCAGGTAAGTTTGTAGTTATACTAATGATAGGTAAGTTTGCAGTTCTAATAATGGCAGGTAAGTTTGTAGTTATACTTATGACATGTAAGTGTGTAGTTGTACTAATTGCAGGTAAGTTACAAGTTATGTTTTACAAAACACAAATCAACACGGGTATGGAAAATCAATTTGTAACGGTAAAACCACCCATATTATTCTGAAAAAAATACCCAGCAACATAACTCCACTATGAATTGGTGAGCTATACTGACGGTCTGATGTGACAGACAGTACACTTACCGCTGGGGATAAGTTTAAACATGCTTTATTATCTTTCTAGAGATATGAAATATTCTTGAGATGACGTGAAATGTAACACAGTTCATACATATGACAACTATCATTATGATACGGTATTATGTAATAAAATCAAGTATTACCAGTTTAAATCGTCAATTACTGTTCAGTTTTCATATAGAGTATTTAATGCAATATCTGATGACTTTTCACACATAACAAATTATCTGCACGTTATTTTTTAGTAATTATTTTATCCTTAACCTGGGTCGACCCCAAGTATATGTTACTATAACCAGTAGGATACTCATAGGTTAATGCTTATGCAAGCCTTCATGATGATCAACATACATGAAAAACCATGACTAACTGGGTATGCCAATTATGCAATACGTTTTATAGCTATGGAGTGATTCAGAAAGACGTTAAGTCTTACTTAGGGGCGCGTTCAAATGCTCAGATGTTGTTTGAATTACTTTATTTTGCATTGATTGAATACCTGAGTCCTATGTACATGTGGGTTATAAATAATAAAGATATCATATTTGGGAGAGGGCCTAGTAAGTTGTAAGAACTTGTGCCCAATCCTTTTGACTATTCAGTGTCAATAAAATATGTTTGAATGAATGAATGATTAAAACGCATGTAAATTTGGTCTCCAACAAGTACAAACGTCTTGATTGTTTTTCTTTATAAATTTTCATAATATGTTATATACAATTAATTATATAAGCAATATATCCCGATTTAGTATTGATCTATTTGATAGTACGAATCAAATCCAGACCTTTGATATAACTTCAATTTATCTACTTGTAGCATCTTATCTGGTGCCGACATACGTAAGAAGTTAAAATTGGAAAAAAACCAAGAAAGAAAGAAAGAAAAACTACCACCACCACTAACAGCAACAACAAAAATAACAACAACGACAATAAAAACACAACAAAAAACATGCCTCGAACGAAATACAATAGCAGTATCCCGGACTTCCACACTGGAAACAAAACTAGATGTTCGTATTCCGCATCAGGATCCCTTCCTGATGTCAAAAAAAGGAACTAGTCAAAGGCACAACTACAATCCATTTACTTAGACATTAAGATATCATAGTTGTCAATCAGGACAAAATATCGACCGTCAACTAATGAGGTGTAGATTGAAGCCGCTTTTGTTATGCAATTTATTATACACCATGGCGAATCTATCCAGAAAATTTGTAAACTAAGAAAATAATGTGGAAGAATGAATGTCTACAACACCACTCCCGAGCACTATTTATCATACGGCTTAGGTGATAACTATTCTAGCTGTGGTAGTAGTGGTATATAATCATACGGGTAGTCAGATTCATCCGTACAAGTATTTCTCGTACTATCTCCATCAACCTTTGGTCACCAAGACGATAACGGGTAGTACCTGGTAGTACGCCTGTCGGTCCGTTGTACCCGGTGATAGCTACCTGTAAGATAATCCCTACAACTAGGGGGAGTTACCGTCACCAACACAAGGTATAGGGCAGACTCACCACACGAAGAACAAAAGTGGTCGGGAACATTAATGAGAACATTCAGATCTGATTCCACATCGACGAATCTCCACCTAATCTAGTCTACATAGCGAGATAATTAACCTGTGTGCCGGACCATCTTGGTCTCCTCCTACTCCGAACTTTCTTCATAAGAAGAACTAATACAGACATTTTCAAAATGGAGTTACGGAAAAGTCATATTAACTTCAATATGTGTGTGTTTGTTTTAGTGATAGCAGCATGTCTTCAAATCTCAACAGGTGAGTATTGTTTATGTGGCACAGATTTAATTATTGTTGTAATATCATAACACAGAGCCCTCATACACTAAGCATGCATTGATTTGAACCAGCACAGACATCCCAATTTATTAAACAGATAAACTATACCAGGTTTTAAGGTTAAAGTATTAAGTTGCTATGATTTTTCCGTACAAACTGAAGTTATTTTTTCTGTTCTCATTTATATTAATTTATAAACTGATCTCCCCTAATTAGTTATGTAATCAAAGTTATCTTCACTACACTATAATGCTCATTAACTTGTTCTAAAAATTACACACATGTATATATTTATATATATATATATGCATAGCGATAATTGTACATAAATATTCCCCAATCAGATCTTATCTGAAGTAGTATAATCTCAAACTAATTTATATACTAGTATGGTCTGAAACTGATATTACCTTTATTTTATACCTTTAAACACCTATGTCAGCATATCTTCAAACGGATATAAGCCGCAAAACTAATGTAACTTACACTATTTTGCTCTAAAATCACTTTTACACCCTCACACTTATGTATTATACACTATTAAACATTCACAGTAATTTAAAACAACCATACTACAACCATACTACAATCAAACCATCGAATTTATTTCATGTACTTCATGTTACCCTCAAACTGAAGTTGCAAATACCTTATCACTCCCAAAATGACATAATATAGACCATACCACCCTTAAACTGGCGTAACGTACATCATAACACACTCAAACTGACGTAACGTACATCATAACACACTCAAACTGACGTCACGTACATCATAATACCCTCAAACTGATGTAACGTACATCATAACACACTCAAACTGACGTCACGTACATCATAACACTCTCAAACTGACGTCACGTACATCATAACACTCTCAAACTGATATCAGTATAACTGATAACAATAAACTATGAAACCCTCAAAATGTTGTTCAAAACTCCATAACATTCCAAAATGTATGCCTCATAACCCATACCATCACCAAACTAGTGTAACACTATTGTAACATAGCCCTTACCATCATCAAACTAGTGTAACATTGTTGTAACATAACCCATACCATCACCAAACTAGTGTAACATTGTTGTTACATAACCCCATACCATCATCAAACTAGTGTAACATTGTTGTAACATAGCCCCTACCATCATCAAACTAGTGTAACATTGTTGTAACATAACCCATACCATAACCAAACTAGTGTAACATTGTTGTTACATAACCCCATACCATCATCCAACTAGTGTAACATTGTTGTAACATAGCCCCTACCATCATCAATCTAGTGTAACATTGTTGTAACATAGCCCCTACCATCATCAATCTAGTGTAACATTGTTGTAACATAGCCCCTACCATCATCAATCTAGTGTAACATTGTTGTAACATAACCCATACCATAACCAAACTAGTGTAACATTGTTGTTACATAACCCCATACTATCATCAAACTAGTGTAACATTGTTGTAACATAGCCCCTACCATCATCAATCTAGTGTAACATTGTTGTAACATAGCCCCTACCATCATCAATCTAGTGTAACATTGTTGTAACATAGCCCCTACCATCATCAATCTAGTGTAACATTGTTGTAACATAACCCATACCATCATCAAACTAGTGTAACTCTGTTGTAACATAACCCATACCATCACTAAACTAGTGTAACTCTGTTCTTACATAACCCATACCATCACTAAACTAGTTTTACTCTGTTCTTACATAACCCATACCATCATCAAACTAGTGTAGCTCTGTTCTTACATAACCCATACCATCACTAAACTAGTGTAACTCTGTTCTTACATAACCCATTCCATCACTAAACTAGTGTAACTCTGTTCTTACATAACCCATACCATCACTAAACTAGTGTAACTCTGTTCTTACATAACCCATACCATCATTAAACTATTGTAATCCTGCTGTATCTTTAAACAGTTTTACCAAAACGCCGCTGATTTATTGTACGATCTGCATGATATGTTCTGCATTTGTTTTTCTAAAACTTCTGTAAAATCATAACAGGTAAAAATGTCAACGGGAGCGGTTAGATTCAGGATCCTTGAGATGTTTGAAAATTGAGGTTCCCCAAAGAATGGTTGTTGACTATCATGTATTACTAACTCAAGTTGGTTAATATTTATATTGTTTAAGTACAGCAGGTTTATCGAGTGTCTTTTACAGTATAGAATAACTTATGAAAGTTATATGAAGATGATAACCCACCATCACAAATTTGGGGACCTTTTGGAAAATAACATGTTTCCCTTAGAAACACATACAGTCTGTTTCTTTTTCCTACTGTTTCCTGTTGCCATCAGTCATGACGTCACTATGACAGATGACACAAACAAACATTGTTACGTCATTATAAAAGGTGTTACCAACTAATGGGTTACCAAAAATGTTTACCAACTACTAGCAGTGTTATCCAATGAGTCATGTGTGAGAAACACTATAGTGGTTTTGGAAGAATAGTACATCTTCTTTGTTGTGTAATGTTGACCAACACATACTTAGACGACCTAGGAACAACATTGATTTGATATCGATACGTTTGCAATTTATTTTCTGAATTATTAATAAAATTAGTCAAATTATTTCCCCTATTATAGGATTCATAACTCATAACATCCTCCGACTTGTGTTCTTTGAACCGCACCATCCCTGGACTGATGTTACATAAACCATACCGCCATCAAACTCTGTCAAACTGGTATTATATAAGCCATAAGTAGGTTAATATAAATTAACCCCCAAGACATAAATACGTCACTGTACACGTATGGCAAACATATTGTATTCGGATCGACATTTGCAACGTTTACAAATTGAACTCTCTGTGTGAAATTTATCAAGAAAACAAGATAATCTGTCAGGTCATTTAATCAAATATAAAATGATCAAGTAATGCTACCATGCCACATCATATTTTATTATTAAGTCCAAATGTCTAAATTCCTTTGCGGTTTGGCACGTAATGATCGTACATATACATGTATACTTCATTTGATTTCAGCAATGACCATCCGGTTACAAGGTGGTAAACGGGCGTCACAAGGACGCGTGGAGGTGTTCCATAACAACACGTGGGGTACTGTATGTGATGACAACTTTAACAATAATGCTGCAAAAGTAGTGTGCCGAATGCTTGGCCTCTATAATTCGTAAGTAAACCGAACCTGATAGGTATGGTGGTGGTTTATTCTTTAACAAACAAAAAACAAAAAAACAAAAGTAGGACTGCAACAAAGATTGAACACGTCAAAATCGCTTAGCATGTTAAAGTAATTTAGATTTGTGCAAATACTATTTTAACCCTTATCATAGGGACAGTAATTTAAAATTTAAAAAAACCACACTTTTATACTGGGAAATGTTCGCCGAAATTCACTTTCGCCGTTTTCGCCCTCCGTAATAGGGCGAATAGGCAGCGAACACCAGTAAAAACCATATCAATCATAGCCATCAATGTTTAAGGGCGAAATTAGCACTAGGTTAATATGGACTTAACCGGCGTAGGGTAAAACGATTAATGGGTGAAGGGTTCCGATGTACCATATGTTGCACGATCTAGACTAATATATGACGTATTGCTAACCAATTGTCGTAGGTTATATGTTGTGGGGAAAGCGTGATACTGTAACTGGTGTTATCTAACTAGGAGCCCAATTAAAAAGTTATATTATATGACTCTTTGTTGTAGTTATAATCAAAGACAACAAGTTGAAGTTACTTCATAAAAAAACCAAGCGAGATGTTTTTTTCACAAATTTCCAGTTGAAGTGATTTAACAAGAACAGCAAAAGCTAGATAACAAGGCCTCTAAATGTATTTTACAGAGACTTATGAAAAGTTAGTTGAACGGATCTATAGTTGAAATATACACAAGTCACGTAGCTAGGACACCAACACCATGGACAAATATGCTATGATTAACAGTCTTTTTTAACTGATAACTTTGTGTTCTGTATCAGGCGTAACTACATACTGGCCCGGTCAAACGCCTTTTTTGGGCAAGGAAATAGGTCGATGCCAATCTGGTTAGACGATGTTGCGTGTACTGGAGCAGAAACAGCGCTAGAGAGCTGTCACCTGAAACCCTGGGGACAACAGAACTGTCGCCACGGCGAGGATGTAGGAGTGGACTGTAACGCTGGTAAGGGGTTGTATACGTAATTGTTACATATAAGCCTGTATGCATTGCTGTACACTATATTATCACATACTGTACTGTGTTATCCAGTGAATATAACCATGTCATATTTCTTTGCGTATCAACCCATGTTATATGACCTATCAGCCCTGTGATTGGTTGTAAGTTTCCTTGGACAAGTACATGACGCCCTGACTTACGCACTGGAGTCATAATGGTGGCTTTTTACATTTCAAGGTTGCATGACAATTGTCGTTGTACACGAATAGATGCCACAAATCTTGATTATGTGATAAAAAAGGATATTGCAGTCGTTTCATTTTATAGGAACTTGATGAAACTCGTCACGAAGTTTTCCTTCGTGACGAGTTTCTTAAAAATTCTTAGATTCGTTTCATGTAAGATCCTATATGTATGTTTTAGACGAAACTGTCGTGAAATTTTTTAATATTTTTTTATTGAGGTAATATAATTTAACAGCCCAATGTGTCATGTGATGATTGGTTGGTTTTTAGTATCTATGTTAATATGAAGATTAAATTTGACAGAAAATATTAATGAAAGACATTTATTGCAGATCAACAAAGTACTTTAAGTATTTTGAACCGAACGGACGTTTATCATTACAGCTAACAATACCACAGGCTTATTGTAAAGGAGAATCAAAAAGGCGTTTGAGTCATTTATATGTCCTGACGAAACTTTAAAAATTAATTGTATTTGTGGAAAAACTTGATCAATTCAAAACATTTGTCAGAAAGATATCTAACAGACATTACCTTGTTATGATACTTTATCTTTTAAATTTTTTAACAATTTTATCATTAAGAATGCAATTGATTCTCTTCTAAATAAACATGGCGATGGAAAAAAGTTTCCGAAAATATGCAAAACTCCTAAACAGTAAATGTAATTTGGACGCATGCAATACGCAAAGTAGTATTAATGAAAACGAAAGGAGAACGTGTTTTCAAACCGAATATAGGATCAATGGTTATGAGTGCAAAACTCTTCAAATAAGTCAACGTTTTTCGTAAGAGTTAAAGTCTATAGATGAAGATTTATGAGGAAAAACAATATCTGTTAATGTAAGAACATCTTGAGGAATGCAGTATAAATTAAACCTTATAGTCATAAATGCAAGAGTACCAGGATCAACGCAATAAAACCATAAAAGTTAGTAGCCATGAACCCCATTTATGTAAGCATGTGGAATTGATATTTGAGCTATGTCCCCAACGTTTTTGCTATCCGTTTTTAAAATATGGACGGGAAAAATTACGAATTATATATTGAACTCGCACTTACATGCCATGAGGTCAGTTTCATACGATTACTAACAGGGATTGACATATCTTTGATGTATTTTACCACATGTGCTTCAGTAATCCTGAATTCAAAGTACTTAAGAGTAATGATGCGTCATTAATCCTCGATCTTATACCAGTTTCATTCAAACATTCAAACTAGTTGTAATATACATTGCTTTTCGTTTTGCTCAACATGGCTTTATTTGGCTATCCATTAGAGTATCGTCTTTATTGCTATACCATATAAGTTGTTAAATCATCCGATCAATGTTGATATAGCTCATTCTTTTCGTTACCTAGAAGAAGCATTTGCTTTGAAGACTGTCAAGGGTTATCCCGCTTGAGCCATGGCTTCCGAATAACCTTTCATAAATATCTCGATTTTGTACGCGCTTAATATCGTAGGATACTTTCTAAGCTTTTTTAGTCTTGCTTTCTAAAAAACTTGCTTTCTGTAAACTCTATAAACACCGTCCGTGGTAGTCTCATTTTATGTTTAATATAAATTTTGTCCCAGCTCTTCATGTTATTTAGAGTATTATTATGGTATAAGCCTAACCTTCTACGTAGAACACTACTGTATTTTAAGTGTTGGTATTAATCAAAACTTGTTTTTTGTAACCCAATGCATAATGTTGACTGTAACGGTGTTTGTAGCACATCGTGTCGAGTAGAGTATTGTTATGTTCTGTTTCACTTGTTATAACTAAGACTACTAACTTAATTCTAACCCAGGCTGTTATGCAAATGTGAATACATTTTGGTGTACCCTGGTGTATAATCATTTAAGGATGGATTGCTATTCCTGGAGTAACGTCATCAATTTTTGAGGAAATGACGTAATTTTCTCACACAAACCAGTGACGTAACAATCAATACCTGTTCTCAAGAGAAGATAACTCTGCAATACGCAAATACGGAATAATCATTTAAGGATGGATTGCTATTCCTGGATTATATATATTGTGTATTATTCTCGTTTTGCTAGCCCTTGATGCAAATGTCCCGGTACGGCTACGAGATGGGACTAACGCAAGAGAGGGTCGTCTAGAAGTCCAATATAACAACACCTGGGGCACGGTATGCGACGATGAATTTGACGATCATGCTGCGGCAGTTGTGTGTACTTCACTTGGACTTGCAAAGTAAGCAACACTAATTAATGTCCACATAAAAACCAAATAAACGTTAAATATTTACTAGCGGAGAAAAGAAACTGTGCATCCAAGGTAAAAAGCTATAAATAAAGCAATAATTTCAAAATGAACAGTAGCAATTTGTTTCAGCATTATAAAAGACACGTTTCGTTAAAAATCAATCCATTAAAAAATGTCAAAAATACACACAGTTTATCGCAAGGGAACATCAAATACAAAGTGTATCCTGAGTGAGTTCACAACGTTAATATCGTCTGATTCCGTTTAAATATGTGATTATGTTTACACGATTTGCTATGACGCGCCTATCTACAGGCTTATTCACAAGTACTCTATCAAATAATGACGCTAATGAGGCCATGTATATATCTTTGCTAGACATACTTGGTTGCAGACGATTATTTGACATATGAATATTTTTTGTGAATAAAAAGTAGTGCTTTGTGTATGACGTCATCAAAATATGTTCTTGATTTTTTTTCGGGTTATCGCTTGATAGACTGTTAACACAAACCAATGCAAAAGTGTGTTACAATCAATATTGAATTGTGTACTATATAGTCCATCAGCAGAATTCATCGCCTTGTTAGGCTATCGAAGTGATATCTATCGTTCGTTGACTTCTTAAAATAAGATCAACTTAAGGAATTCAGAGAACATAAGAGTAGGTTGTTGCCTTATTTTCTGGAATTATAATGCCCTGATTTAATTGTGTAATATGTTGATATTTTGACAGTGTCAATGCTATACCAATCGGTAATGGTTTCTTTGGTAACGGTACACTGCCAATCTTGCTGGATGACGTCAGGTGTACAGGAACGGAGCCTGGCTTAGGTGCCTGCAACCACAAGCACTGGGGACAAAGCAACTGTGCCCACAATGAGGACGTGGGTGTGATTTGTTATCAGGGACCACGTAAGGCTTTAATTGAGAAATTACTTTCCCAATGTTTTCTTCTTATATTCATATCATATCAAGATAGTTTGCAGTCTGCAGAAAAAGGTAGTTTTAGGCTGCTAATTCATTGTCCCCGGATTGAAATATTCGCAGCCATTTTTGCCTGATTTTATGCTAACTAAAGGAGAAGTAACAGGACGTTGCAATAATGATTGCAAAATAATTATGCTAGTGTTACATCTGGTTTTTGTTTACTCACAAAAATCCTTTAGAATATAAAGGTTTTTTTAAGATTATTTATATACATGGATACTATTAGGATTTTCATTGGAACCATTACATATAATGCTAATATCCGTCCTGTGTTAGAGAAAACAAACTTTATATCTCAAACAACAGAATCAATTGACACTAAAACGTCATTTACCTTTATAACATTGACATGGTTTATACTTACTTATAGAGCCATCGACATCCAATGTTCAAGTGCGTTTGAGCGGAGGTACAAGTCAGTACCAGGGCCGCCTGGAAATACAGGTCTTCAACCGCTGGGGCACCGTGTGTGACGACTCCTTTGATGCTAGAGAGGCCAATGTCACATGCCGCATGCTTGGTTTCCTCAAGTACGACCCATTTATTCTACACAGAGTTTTACGATTTGTACACAGTTAATTTAAAACTTCTTTTTCTGTTTTGTAATACATAACTATGCTTAATTTAAAAAAGAAAAATATAATAAATCTTAATAGAATACTCAACCAGTGTGTGGTACATGGTGACATATAACGAGGGCAAGGAAATGTTGGGGAAAAAAAGACTTACGAAGGCCGTTTCGACCTGAATTTTCTTCCATCAAAAAATAAATGAAAAACGTAACTTATACCTATTTAACTACATAAAATATATTATAAATTAACGTGTGTATTTCAATACCTTTATGATAACGTTACAAACTAATCCCACTATTTGAATAAGTTATTTTGCATATACATTTGTCTAGCGACTAAAAGCTTCGGTTTCACCAACAATCTCTTATGTCATAAATTGTGGGCGATAAGCTGGTAGTTTTGTTATGCCAGCTGAACGTGTGTACACGTGGAAACGTTTTGATATGTAAATACACGCGTGTACCCTCACTCATATTACAAATTTGTTAAAAATGTCACATGGATTTTACTTTTTATGCTGTAAATACGCTGAATGTTGTGGGAAGACCTTTGCACTTGCACAGTTTGTTTGAAAGGATACATGCACATTTATTGGATCATATTCACGTCCAATACTGGCAATGGTATATGGTTATCAACCAATGAAATGGTCGTTTTATCGCCTATGTGGTAGAGTAGTTTATTTCAAATAATGCTTGTACCCATTGAAATTGTCCTTGTTACCGAATACTACGCATAACGAATATAGCATAGGTAGCAGTATACAGTAGAAATGGCCCGACTCTGATAAACAAGGCACATGTCGAGGAAATGTAAACACAGCGGATTTACCCTACACAACACATGTATACATATATATATTTGTAAACTGCATTACATTTACAATACATATAAAGTACTGAGAAGTGTATAAACCTCTTTTTTCTAATTATGTCACTTGTGTGAAAACCATGGTTACGACATCAAAAATTACCAAAAAATGCAAAAAAAATGCTATTTTTAACCCAAAATTTGACCCCCGCAACTAGTAATTTTTTTCCTTAGCTCTGTCTGAAATCAAAGATTACCTACCTGGTTGCAGAATTATCTGGGTCCCAGTAAAGTTGTTAAACTTGATTTTTTGCAATTTTGCGTCGTGTGCTGTTGTCAAAATTTTACCTCCTGTAAAGCTTGCTTTTCATGTGTACGCACCCTTTCGGATTATGGACAAATTTTTATTCTCGAACCAAACAAATCTTCTTTCTTTTTTTACAAATGCGAAGCTCACATAGCCCACTTCAGCATGCTTAACCAATTTTAGTGTTTTTTGTTTGTTTTTTTTGCATATCATTATACAGGGGTTAGCCATTTAACAAAAATATCACCCCTGGCCACAACCCTCTACTGTATACTGCTACCTTAAAATTACTAATCCATTTGAAGCAAACAGAACACATAATGATATCGTTATATGCTAAAACATCTATTTTGCATTGGTTTAGTAATTTACCCGAGATATAGAAGACGTCGAACAAGCTTCTATCACGTTTTCCCTTTCCTTATCAACTTATTACACATATTTTGTCACACGTGACATCAAAATGTGTGATGTTAACCATATAACAGATACAGCATCTTATACATCACTGACTGTGCATCAACATAACATGGAAATAAAACCTAGAGGATGCATATTCTAGCTTTGAGATCTACCCACTACGTGCAATAAATTCAATTTTTGTTGCAAAACATATCAGTCAAATTATAATACATTTTAAATATGACAGTAATGCTATCGTTCTTTCTTTGTGATAACTCTTTTTCTTAGATATGAATATCCATTGTATCAGTCGTCCATTTTAGAAATTTATGGTGTGTTTCAGTGGTGGAACGGTATTGAGTGGAAGGACCTTTGGAGGGGGACGTGGACCCATTTGGTTGGACGACATGGAGTGTCAGGGAACAGAGTCAAACCTGGTGAACTGTGTCCATAAACCTTGGGGAGTTAACAACTGTGACCATAGTGAGGACGTGGCTGTGTCGTGTACTCCGAGTGAGTGAGATGTTGTGACATACGGCATACTTTAGTCATTGTGTTATGCAAAGTAACTCAGACAAGGTTATATATGTATCACTTAAGAGCACAATTTCAATTAATGGATTGAATTGATGGTAAATTATTAGGTTTTTATGGTGTTTTGTATATGAGGGCTGAATGCAACTCTCTAGATTTGATTTTGTGGTAATTATAGGTCAAAAGTTTCTTTTATTAGTCTACTTGATAATAAATCTGACCGGTGATATAATAAGATGTAACAAAAGTATCAAGATTATGGAAGATTCAAGCGAACAAAAGTATCATTTCCTACCACAATTAACCCGTTTGACTTCGGAATAGCAACATGAACTATGTTATGTATTTTAACCTTAATTAATTAAATGACTTTAGGATAGGAACCATTAAAAAGAAAGTTTACTTTTCAATGAGCAGAAGTGCTTATCAAACTTGATTATTAAAAATTGCACGTGACCGCAACTTATCTTCCTCCGATAATAACCCCGAATTTCCTAAATCTTTATATGAAAATGAAACTCAGTGTCGGACTCTAAGTGGAAGACATTTTCTTTCGTTTGTTGAAATGGCTCAATCATACCTGATTAGGTTCAGTAATTAAAATGATTTCAATTACAAAAATGTAAAAGTTTCTCAATTTTATCCATGAACATAAGATTCAATACATTTGCTTTGGTGACGTCATTTCATTTAACAAATGTTTGGGCATTTCATTACGTTAAATCTAAGTGTAAAATAACTACAGTTCGCTGAAGATTCAGTGAATAAATATCTAAATAAATAAATGCGAAGTTAACTGGAAAGGAGGAAAACAGGAATGTAAAACTTATTTTGCAAGGTTCAGCAAAGACTTGATTTACACTCTTTGCTTGACAAAGGAAACAAACGTTTTTAAAAGCTCGCAAAATAAGTTTTCATTTCCTGTTTGTGTTCAAAACAAACTTTGCATATATTGTTCAAACAAAACTGATGTTATAAATAAATATAACTGAAAATAATGATATTGTTATCATTTGACCTCATGACCTCTAATGATCAGGAAATCTGAAATTGAGAGTGGCATCTGGTCCTACCTAATACGGCACTCGACAATATTCGAAATGATACAATACTGCCATACAGGAGTTTTTGTTGTCAGACAATTTTCAGTGACTTTTTGTATATTACAGATAATCTGCCACCTATTCAGGCGCGCTTGGCTGGAGGATCCAACAGTAATACCGGGCGTTTTGAAATTTACTATAATGGTGTTTGGGGGACCGTCTGTGATGATTCGTGGAACAATGCTGATGCTGCTGTTGCCTGCCGAATGCTTCATCTTCCATAGTAAGTTGCGGATAATGTCACATTCTAAAAATTTTCGCAAAAGATTCATTCATTTCTTAAAGCTTAAGCAAATACTAGATATCCGAAGACATTATACGTAAGCAGATGCCCAGTATTGTCCATTTTTTCATAATAAATGAAAATATGCTTCATACTGAATGTTAAATGCTTCCTATAATTTAATTATTGCTACTATCTATAATAAAGAACACCCGCGCTAACATCCAGGCCAACAAGAGTGATTGGTATAAGTTGCAAAACCTGTTTTATAATTGTTTTTAAATATATAAAGTTTATATATATGGAATATCAGCTAATTTAGTATTTCAAAAGGGAGCTTCCACCTCTATAAGTTCATTTTGATACCCTTAGGTAATACAATAATGAGTCTCCAATATATTGGTATTTAATATATAATTGTGTGCTGTAATATATACAGAAAAATAAAAAGGGGAGTATATGTTTCATATTATGAAAATCTGTGTTATGTTATCTCCTAAAACAATTTTGTTTGTGTATTGTGTATGATAGCTCGGGAGCGGCAGCCATTTCTAAAGGAGGGTTCGGCCCTGGTACAGGGAGCATTATACTTGACGATGTAGTGTGTGTAGGAACGGAGACCTCCGTAGCTATGTGTCAGCATTCCCCTTGGAACCAAAACAACTGTGACCATAGTGAGGATGCTGGCGTCATATGTCAGTCAGGTAAACAATCAAACCGTGTGCTGGTGTAATCAATTTGTCATGTCGCAAAATCGACCATTCTCTTGTGTTTGTCTTATCCGCTAGTCAGGTAAAAAAGGAAAAAAACGTTCCTAGTGATAACGCCATTTGTTGTTTGTCGTTATCTGCTAGTTCGGTCCCGCAGACTAAATCCGTCTGAAGCGGCTTCATCTAAAATAAAACACTTCTGTGTGTTTTCGTCATTCATAACAAAGTTATTCCTTGTACTGATGGCATGGCGTCATCTGTCAGTAAGGAAAATCCAAAAATAAAACCAACAAGCAAACAAAAATGTGTCATTAACCCCTTTTTGATAGACCGTAATAAAATATGGGTCTACAAATACTGAAGGAACATATTGAAATTCTTTCAGTCATTCAAACTGTAACGTGACAAACTACGATCTCATGAAATTATTCAGCAATCTCTTGTGTCATCACAACATAATACATAATTAATGATATATTCTAGATTGTAGTGGTCAATTTATTACATTTAGCAATGTACCTGACATGTACGATTGTGACAGAAAATCGTATAGCTACATTGTAAGATGACTAAAAAGGTCAGTTTAAAAACGTTAAGTTGGAGAAATTTAATTTCATTGTGTAAGATACATTGGATCAGGGGAATAAAAACATTGTCTCCCCATTTGTAAATCTGTCATTTGCCTTTATATATTCAGGTAATGCAAATACGCAAATTAGATTGGTTGGAGGCAGTGGCGCATTTGAAGGTCGTCTGGAGGTGTTCTACAACAATACATGGGGCACCGTTTGTGATGATTTCTTTGGTGCTCCGGAGGCAAAAGTGGTGTGTAAACAGCTTCAATTTTCAGGGTAAGTATTGTGTTTTTACGTACATAGCTCTCGTACAACGTTAAATAAATAATATTTCTATACATCTGTTGATATAACCTCTGTCTCCCTTTGTTATTTTTATAAACTATAAACAGAAATTTAACTAGCATTAAGAAATTATACAACTATCGAAAAGGAAATCTTAATTACCTTTTTGGCTGTGTGGACAAACCCGTTCGGGTTTATTTATTACAGTTATATTTTTATATCTTAAAAAGCCTAAAAAAGACGTGTTGCCATAGTGTGCTTTAATAGCGTTTGTTTGTCATGTTCTTCCGAAGTGACGAATAGACCTCAAATGACATCCGAAAAGACGAAACATTGCGCGCTAAAAAGCGAACTTTAATTTTACTCTTATCGAATCGCAGTGTGACACCATGGATGTTATTCCATAGTTTCTTTATTATGTCACCCAAACGAAGTCGGGGACTTATTGGTTTTACTCCGTTTTTTTATTATTAAGTCCTCATCCCAAACGAAATCGGGGATGCTTATTGGTTATTGTTCCGTTTCTTACTTATTCTTTCTCTTACTCTCTTTCTCTAACTCTTTCTTATTATTTTTTCGCCAGTATTCTCCGCAACTAATCTCAGGAACTACTTATAGGATTTTTATCATAATTTGCATACATAATCAGTACGATATCTAGTTGCACAACTTACTCTTTTTTCCGGGTCGACCATCCAGGATGGTCGCCGCTGCCTCCGATCGGCCAAAGTTATATCTAGTAATAACATTCGTTCTATTTGATGGAACATAATGAAACTCGGTGAAAGGGATGATAACGTCACAGCGTTTGCTTTCGACAAAAAAGTAATTGACTTTGGATTCAAAATAGCGGCCAAATGCAGGCTTCTGATTGGTTGAAATTTAGATTCTTCTTCTTCTTCCGCCGTAAAAGTTTCTGACACATTTCTCCAAAACTATTCGACGGAAGTTAATGAAACTTTACACAAGTGTTCATCATGGTAAGGGGGTTTGCAAATGACCTTTCATTTTCCCATCGGTCAACCAAGATGGCCGCCGCGGTCTCTGATTTGTCAAAATTAAATATTGTTCCACTTTTGTAGTGGTCCCCTATTACAATTAGTACTTGTTATTATTATTATTATTATTATTTCCTCTTCTTCTTATTTTTCCGCCGTGAACTTGTCCGACCATTTTTTCAAAAACCGCAACGCATATCTGGAAGAAACTTTAATAAGTAATAATGGGCATATGTAGTTCGGTATTTGAGTCTTTATTGTTAGATCGTTGCCATAGCAACCACACAGCACGGAAGCTTCTGATCGGTCGAAATTTAGATATTGTTGAACATTGATGAAAATTGGTATATAGCGTTATTAGGGGATTGCAAATTTAACCACATAGATTTCGTTGACATAGCAACCACAAAGCAACCACATGGATGCTTCTGATCGGTGGCAATTTAGATATTGTTCAATTTGATGAAAATTGGTATATAGGTGTATTAGGGGACTGCGAATTCAATCGGATAGGTGTCGTTGCCATAGCACCCACACATATGCTTCTTATCGGTCGAAATTTAGATATTGCCTGATTTTGAAGAAAATTCTTGTATATGGGTATTAGCGGACACAAATGCTTCTGATTATTTGCAATTTAGAAATGGTTCGATGCTCAAATTTAGTATGTACATTGGTACATTGTTAAATGTATTATGGCGTTGCGATCCTTTTCAGATACATCCTTGTTGCTATGGGGGCAGTCTGGGGGNCCCCCCCCCCCCCCCCCCCCATTACACAACATATACATCGATGTTAATGCTGATTTAAATTCAGTTTTAAAGTTATACCCGCTTCTCATTTTCTATGCCTGTTTAATCATATGGATCTGTTCATTTGGTTGAAAAATCGTCAACATTGTTTTTCTCTGTTGCAGAACTGGAGCTCAAGCAAAAGGCAACGCCTTTTTCGGACCAGGTACAGGACGAATCTTTTTAGATGATATGCAGTGTACTGGCACAGAACGCAACCTGGCGCTTTGTGGACACAGAGGATGGGGCAACAATAATTGTGACCACACCGAGGACGTGTCCGTCATTTGTGGCTGTAAGTCAAACACATGTGTATTCCCCTAGTTTGGACCATTTACGGTTTGAATATTTTTTTGTGACAAAAAACAAGCATTTCTAATAATGTATTAGCAGGTTTAAGTTTTACATTACTTAAAACAAAAATAATGTACCAAGTACATGGCTTCTTAACTTCCGTAATGACATATTTTGATATTCTATATGTAAACTTATCATTATCATGACATGAAGTTGCTTTTTAAAAGATAGAAAATATTTTGACAACATACACTAGTATCACCTCAGGATTTTAACGTGCAGCCATACAATTTATATTTTTCTTGATTATGCATCATGTACATAAGAATCTGGTATAAGACGAAACAACATAAGAACACCACCTCAAAGGAATGCTATTTATATGGAAACTAAGTATCATAATGATATCACTTATTGGTAAAGTGTAGAAAATAATATTTAATATGGTCAGCATTACCTGAAATCAAATGGGAAAAGACGTAGTCAATGTAAGTCAAAATATTAACTCGATGTGTTTCTTAATTTAGAAACAACATGTCAATTTTCTCTTTCTGGCCTCATGGTTATTTTAACATTACAATGCTGTTTGTCAAATGTAATTCTTTTCTCTGAACGATTTCTCACGTTCTATCTTGTTTAATGCTATATAAACGTATTTCAATATATATGATAAAACAATTTACGTTTGGTAAATGTGTCGTTATGTGGACCTCTTCGTCTCGGTCTCTATCAGTTTCTCAGGTTCGTAAAACCACATCAACGCTTCACCAAAATTCCATATTAATGTCATTTTCAAATAAAAATGTCTATGGAATGGATGGACGTGGAGTTTGTAGGTAATAACAAGTATGGTATATAATGATATTAAATGTGTAAGTACTTCGATAACGACATAAAGGTTTTATTCTCCAGGTTTAATACACATATCGACTTACAGTGTTGTCGAAAGGAAAAACAATATAATAATAGCGTACATTACTTGGTTCCTATGGGGTTGGTATTGCAGTTAAGAATGCTAGTCTCATTGCCATAACATCGAACTTCGCCAAGATAAATAGGTCCTGATCCGAGACCAAACCCAGCTGCCGTCACCGCAACTGCGTTAGCTCTGAAAATATAAAAAAAATACGTTTATTTTATAACTGTACTGTACACAATATAAGGATATTGCCCATGATACCGACATACATTTGATAAAATGGTATATATATATATATAAATATAAACAAACACGAAGAGATTTTTAGTACTTCCCTAGCGCTCTCACCTCTTTAGAGATTCACCAGGGGAACTGTTTATCTATGTTGACAGGACAACAACACAACACATAAAGTGATGACGTCATGATACAATATATGGGACAAAAAATATATAGTATCAAGTAATTGATATAGTATCAAGTAACTCGTATCCTACGGACATACCTCCAATAGGATCCAGTGTTATATGGGATTTTACCGTCTATATTACTCATTTGACCCATATATATATATATATATATACGACATACAGGGGCTATTCCATAGGAATATCGCATTAAATTCCTACACACAAAGGTAACAGAAATGCATATCATTACAGCTGGGAACCCCCACTCTAACACCTCCCTCCGCCTGGTTGGTGGGACGAATAACCAGGAAGGACGACTGGAAGTATACCACTCTGGCACCTGGGGCACAGTTTGTGACGATTACTTCGACAATGTGGCCGCTAGCGTTGTCTGCAAAATGTTGAAGCTACCATGGTGGGTTAATGTCTGGTCTTTTAGTATCTTTATTCTTATTTATCCTTCAGTTGTTGTTTTTCATAGGGTACGTATTGCTTTTACAGCAAATAGAGATTTACCAACAAATCGTTTGAAGTCATTTCCGACTTTAAAGTATCAAGAAATGGCCCTGTCTCTCCGAATGCACTGTCTTTCATTCCACGATACATTAGAGATTGCACACTAGAATGATTATTCCAAAATTTCACAAATAGCATGAATCAATATCCCAAATAGAAAATGAAAAATGTAAGGAACTTTCGCAAAGATGAGATTTATTTTTTCATATATTGGTGTTTATCTTTTTACTGACTAAAGGCGTGGCGCTCAGGCCCGTCCTAATGGATATTTCGGAAGTGGTTCAGGGCGGATTTGGCTGGATAACGTCATTTGTCATGGCAACGAAACCAACTTGGCTTATTGTCGCCATCGTCCCTGGGGGACTACTAACTGTGACCACACAGAGGATGTGGGAGTAGTATGCGGCCAGTGTGAGTATACGTATTAATATGAAGAGCATACAATTTAGTATGGAAACCTACGTTTAATATAATGACAAGTGTGGGTATATCAACATTAATTGCGGGGAACAGTTTGAGTATACTAATGTTTAAGGCAGAGACCAGTGTTACAATTACATTTCGTTTTGAAAGCAATGTCAGTAAACTTGCATGTATTATTGGGCTAGTATAAGTAAACCAAGATTTTCGTAATTGAACTTTCGTAATTCTAGTTTCATGTCATGTTACTTAATCTATGCGTTTTTGTTGTGTTTAGTAGAAAGAGTGAGATTGAGGTTGGTAAACGGCTCCTCAACATCCCAAGGAAGACTCGAGGTATACCACAACAACACATGGGGAACAGTCTGTGACGATTCCTTCGACAGCTCGGCCGCAAGCGTGGTCTGCCACATGCTTGGCTTCAGACGGTAAGTTTAGAAGGAATGATATTCGTCTTGTTGTCGATAGGTATTCGACATAATATATTCGACATTCGTATAATATGTGCAATTTATGCTACAAATGTATGTAACTTTTCGGTTTAAAAACAATTTCATCCATTACTTGATTTTATTATGTGCGTCCTTACTTCATATGTCTAGTAATTATTTTTACGTGACAAGATGGACAAGCAGTCCCCGACCTTGGCATTCTGGCATGGTTTACAGCAATACTAGCTTATAGGTTTTATAGGCAGCTTTCCCTTGCGCTGATGATTGGGTTTGCATTCAGTGGAACTTTCAAACCACCGATGAGTCATAAATAAACGAAATAGCCGTACGGTGTTGTAACATATTTTCGTTGGTTTTCTACGTCAAGATTTTTAAATAGGTGCTCCCTTGCTTCGTATTTCTAGTAATAATTTGACATTTATTCCTGCAACCTTTCTTTATTAAAATACATTTTTATAAAGTGCAATATTGTCAAACATCTGAAAAAATGTCTTAGTTAATAAAATAATGGCTATAATAAGTTCAATTACGGATGATTTAAATTTGACCTTTTATTTCTATTTTAAGGGACCATGCTTTAGCATTTTCTAATGCTCACTACGGACAAGGAACAGGGCCAATAATGCTTGATGACATTGGTTGCACGGGCAATGAGAACAACATTCTCCAGTGTCGCAACAAAGGATGGTACACTAACAATTGCGCCCACAGTGAGGACGTGGGCGTCATGTGTAACTCAGGTAGGCTATCACCTTTTAATAAAATATCGATTTAGACGAGAAACAATTATTTTCAATAACATTGCAGTTTACAACCTGAAATATCCCTTAATAATCTAGACTGGCATTAAACCAATGCGTATTCTTTCTCAAAGGCACCCCACATTTGCGTCTTCGTAATGGCCGAAATAGTAACCAAGGTCGGGTGGAGATACAGATTGGCAACACCTGGGGAACCATATGTGATGATAGCTTTGATGGAAATGCTGCTAAGGTTGTCTGCAGAATGCTACATAAAGCATCGTAAGTGTGATTATCTTACTAACTTCGTCGATACTCAGGAGAATACGCTCACTTACGCTTTCTGCACCCCTGGAATATGTCATAACATAATCGAAATCTCAGTGTGCGCCAACTTGTTGATGAGACAAGAAGACTAGTCCAAACCTTCGATGTACATCAAAAGAATCGCGCGGTCGCGAAACGGTAACAGATGACTGACTTTGAAGTTAGGTGTCGGTCCTTCGTAATCTTCAAAGGACAGGTATCAACCTAGTGATTGGTCAGTTTGTTTACCTAAGCCAATCAAACTACTATCTTTGTGCCTTCAATTTTGCTATGAAATGTTCCAGGGATGCAGAGCGTAAGTGATGTCTTACTTAGGGCTATATTGTTATGTCGTTACTGCGGTGTTTCTACATAGTAATTATTGTCTCTATAATTACGATGTTTTAATAGCTTTTTCTCCAGAGTTAGCAAGTAGTTTAAAGCGATGCGAATGAAAAGAGACGCATATGCCTTAACTTGATAAGAGCTGTTTTTTTCCATAACAGTTCCTCGTCTTTTGCTTCCATCCTAATTAAGCAGATATATATTTTCATACCAACGTCGGAAAACATTTCCCTCGGCATTCTAATTTTCTCTTTTGTCGCAAATATTTTGTAATAAATTTTTTATCCACTAACGTTTGTTTCCCTTTTACGTCAACACCTTTCTATATAATTTCCTTTATTGTATATCTTATATGGCATTCTGCCGTACAGTTATAAAATAAACGTATTTCATACTTTCAGAGCTAACGCAGTTGCGGTGACGGCAGCTGGGTTTGGTCTCGGATCAGGACCTATTTATCTTGACGAAGTTCGATGTTTTGGCAATGAGACTAGCATCCTTAACTGCAATACCAACCCCATAGGAACCAACGACTGTGACCACTCCGAGGACGTCGGTGTCATCTGTACAAACAGTGAGTACCAGCAACAACCATTTGCTAACTTCAATCATAGTGTCATGAAACTCATGTGAGCTGTGTCATGACGACAACGTGATACAATCAGTTTTGGCATTTTATGTAATTTTTTCCGGAAAATATGAATTCGATTATGACAAAATATCATAATAAGCGATAGAAACATGTGTCATTTTTAATTTTATATATAATATTCATCCTTAAGGTTGAAGAATAGGTATATAGAGTATAATACGCTGCTCTTTACATGTGAAGTGAAGTTATAAGAAAACTGGTCTGTAAGGTAGCGAAAATTATATATATGATATAATGTATAAGTCTTTTACAATAGAATAAGAGAGAACTTTCTATGGATAACAAAGTATGCTACGAGAAAACTTTATAGATTGATGATAGAATACAGCTGGACATGATGAGAAGATTTTATAAAAATAGGGTAAAAAGATAATCGAATATGGGTATAAAAGAGCTTTTTAGAGTATTATTTTTGTAAGAAAAGTAAACTGGGAGACGAATTAAAGTTCAGCAATTTTTTGAAAGACTTTCTAGATAGAATGCAGTAGAGTACTACATGACTTTTTAGTTATATAAAATAATAAATGTAGTATAGAATATGTAACGTGTAATACATAGTGATATGTTAAGTAGAATAAGTAAACTAAATGAGGGTTTCATTTGTTTGGCACAATACGGCATGAAAAGAATAAACAAATAAATAAATAACCAAAATGGTTTGTATTACAGGCCAGCAGTCCAATGTACGTGTAAGGCTAACGGGAGGACCCAATATGAATGAAGGACGACTCCAGGTTAACTACAACCACCAATGGGGCTCCGTGTGTGATGACAGCTTCAACGACTCTGCTGCTGCTGTTATCTGTAGTATGCTTCACATCAACGTGTAAGTTACTTTCTTTACGATTTCAGATACAATACTGTGTAACAGGAAACTTTCGCCCAGTCAAAAATCATCTTCGCCCAATTACATTTTCGCCCTTCACTGGTAAAATCTATCTTCGCCCAATTAAATGTTCGCAGTTTACTGGTAAATCTATATTTTCCCAGTGTAAATTTCGCCCTTCGCATGTTATTACTATGAAAGGTAGATTGTGTACAAATATTCACTTTTATGATAAATTGGCCCTTACTACAGAGGGCAAAAAGGACGAACATTAATCTACAGCGAAAGTTCCACGGTTATAGTACTCTTCTTTTATCAAATTGGACACAACACTGAAAGCTGCAGATGCATATTTATATACATTTGTAAATGTTGCATCTTCAGTAGCATGAGAAAAACGTTTCTTTATTTTTTTAAATGTAGTCTGGTTGATAGTCAGCAAGATTTTGGGTTATTGAATGAAGCACTGAATGTAGACTAAGAGAATATTATCTTCGTGTTGTCAGTGTACATGCCCGGGCGGTTCCAGGAATTCGATACAATGTATCTTACCCAGGCCCGATCTGGATGGATGATGTCAAGTGTTCAGGAACAGAAGCGTCCATTACTGCCTGCCAGCGTAGCCCGTTCGGTACCAACGATTGTGAACACACTGAAGACGTTGGTGTTATCTGCGAGACAGGTAAAACACGATAATTATCCAAGCTAACGCTAACGTACCAAGGGATAAAACGTTAATGAAAACTTGGTTTTGGCAATTAGCATTATATCCAATGAAACTATACATCGTATGTACTTTATTATTCTTAAACCTTACATACATAGTTGCTCTTCAAAGTGTAGAGATATTTTTTTGCACCTGTCACATCATAATTGTAAGAACCAGATTCAATCTAGGTGGTATTGAAATAATACTCAAGATTGTATAATGTTCAAACTGTAGCCCAGTCCCTTCAGGCACCAGTGCGTTTGGTAAATGGTACAAATGGTAACAACGGTCGCGTGGAAGTACAACACAACAACATGTGGGGAACAGTCTGTGACGACGGCTGGGGTGTCCCTGAAGCAACTGTCGTCTGTCATCAGCTAGGAAAGCCAACGTGAGGTTTATAAATACATTTGCTAGATCTTGTTCTGATATCGATGAGAACATATGTGATCCCCATGATGTGATGAATTGTATGCGGTCATCAATTAAAATATTTTATTATCACGATACATTCTATTACACTTTCAGAATCTTACTTTAAAGGCTTTCAAAAGACGAAATCATACTACGACTCAGTTGTTTCGAACAAGATGTTCCAATGTTAAATGATGTGTCGAATAAATTCTAAGGTGAAGGTCGCAGTAAAATATCCAGAGCATCATTTACTTTAGGCGATCAAAAGTAATGTATCCTCTGAATTAGTTCTATATTATGTTTTAAGGTCGGTGGTGGTGCCCTTGTCCAATGCATTCTATGGGGCAGGGAGCGGAGCAATCCAGATTGATGACATCGACTGTGTCGGTAATGAGACGACCCTCGGGATGTGTCAGAGGAAGCCCTGGGGTGTCAGTGATTGTACACATCAGGAAGATGCCGGAGTCATGTGTCTAGGTAGATAAATCAGCATATCATATATCCCATCAATGCTGTGCAAAGAAGTCAGTGACTTTCCCATCACGTCTATGTAAATTAGTCATTCACCTTCCAATCTATTTTCCACCACTTCTGTAAAAATAAGTCAGCCATTTTTATTACTTCTGTGGAAGAAAGTCACTCACTTCCCTATCACTTTCTCTAGATGAGTCAGGCACCTCGCCGTTACTGATGTGTAAGTAAGTCACTTATAGAGAAATACGTATATACGCCTAATTAGTGTGTATCTGAATGTGTCATTTCAACTAAGTTGGACCACCGTTTTAATCATAGGAGCTGAGCATGCAATGCCCATTACAAACAAGAAAAGGCCATATTATCTATGTATCCGACAAATGTGTTACAGAATAGAAGGCAATGAGTATACACTTATCTAGAACATTAAATGGTTATTTTAAAAATCAAAGTACTTCGTATGCATGTTATTTTTTGAACATTGAAAGATTCGTAAAATATTTTTTAGCAAGGAGTCCAAATACAAGAGTATCGGTGCGTCTAGTTGGGGGTCTGTCCCACAGCCAGGGACGTGTCCAGGTCAGGTACAATGGCGTATGGGGATCCATCTGTGACGACTCATGGGATAGCAGAGACGCCACGGTTATCTGTCGTATGCTTGGTTACAGCACGTAAGTCAAGTACTTCATGTTGTTCACTTTGGGTAATCATTCCCATATTGACAGTTACTAGTCTTATTTCTATGTATTCCAGGTATATGTTATAAGACTCTGTCATGCCCAGGAGTGTAGGATAGGAAAATTCCACCCGAGGGGTTTTCAAATTTGGTAAAACCCGAGGCTTTGGTCATGAAAGAGTGTTTTTCTCTCATTCCTACTACCAAAATAAGCTAAGAAACCATTAAAAATGAAGACTACCTTGTCAGCGATATTAAGCATACCCCATATGTGCAATCGGAGTCTGCGCAGAAAAATAATCTTATCTTTCGAACATGTAAGGTAAATATTTCGGAAAAGGTTTTAATTTCATCACGTCGCCTTTTCTGCATTGCGGCATCGGAGTTTTTTCCAAACAGCTGACGTCACGTCATTGTTTAGCCATTGTGACGTCACGTCACGTGAAATGGGGTGTTAGATTAATAGAATCTCTCACCCTCTTTGGGAATCTCAACCCGAGGGGGAAGATTCTTATGTTGCCAAACACACTCAACTTAAGAATCTTTTCCCGAGGGTTGAGATTTCCCTATCTAAACCACAACGGGGTGAATGATTCTTTTCTCTTACCCTGTTCTCCCAATGTGTATCATATACACAATTTTATGATAACGTTACATGCTAAATTCAGGGTTGACGTCAAAAGTGACGTTAATGGATTGTTGACGTGACGTCATTGTATTGTTGAAGTGACGTCATGCCATTGTTATGAATAGGGGAATAACCCCGTCTCCACCCTAGGGTGAGACAAGGACATCTCACACCGGTAAAAGTGCGGATATACCTGTCCAGGGTAAGAGAAAACAAATCCTACTACCCTTTCTTACCCCGGGCAGCTCTATCTTACACACTGGGAAATGAGAGAAAATATATCCATTTACTTTACAAAAGCTGCCGTGAAAATATACAAAAAGCTACATCTTCACGTATGATAATATAAGTCCTTTAATCGATTTCAAAATAACCAATCCGAACGGTATTATGTATTTACTTCACTGAAAGCTGCAGATTTGCTGTACAGCTGTAAAAGAAACGACGGCAACATAAATGGTTGTTTTTGTGCATCTTAGCACATAAAATTAGTTATAAACATGACTTTATATCTGATATTTTTCGTAAACCGAACCAGATAATACAGATAAGGGCATACTAATATTGATTAACACTTTCAAAATGGCGTGCAACCGAGTTGTCCAGCGTGACATTATTGAATATTGCGCCAAACTTTACGCTAATGTTGATGCAGTAATATTTTTGCAATGGCATTTCAAAAATGTAATTAACAGAAAATATAATTGTTTTCCCGTTGAATAACATGATAAATTTCATTTGTGAAGGAAGAATATACCGATGTCTGTACGAGTGCAACAATTTGTATTATATCACACTCGTGAAATAAATATGGTATTCACTCTAATATGTCAATATTTTCACTTTTTTTTGCGCTCGTGAAAAAAATCGGTATTCTGTCATACTCGTGAAATAAGCATGACATTCAACAGGAAATAATTAAATATATAGATAATATATTATGTTGTTAAATAAGTGTTTTTGAAACCATCAGTACCGGTGTGTTGACATTGTGTCTTCCAGCACTGGTGCGAGGGCGCTCACAAACATTGGGACGGGAAGAGGCCCAATTTGGATGGACGATGTAGAATGTGTTGGTACTGAAAGCAACATCCAGAATTGTACATTCAAAGGATGGGCAGAGAACAACTGTGACCATTCAGAGGATGCCGGTGTTTACTGTAATGATGGTATGTATCAGAATGATATGTCACTTTATTAACATGTCTCCCTTCATCCGCTTAGTTAACTCTGACTGCGTATGAATTAGTGTATATGCAATGAAGAAAGGCTCAGCAACGCCAACGCGCACCATAGAATATTTTTGTTTCTAATTGCGTCCAAACTAACGTTTACGCCGTCAAAATGAAAGTCAGTCCCTAAATGATAAGAAAAACGTATCAGTGCTAAATCTGAACGATGGTTCAATGATGAGGATATCAGGGAAATGTACGCATGTGATTATTTACATTAAAAGACTAGAACATCCGTCAGAAAAATTGACTTGTATTTGTACAAATCTTCCCAAAACATGTTTACTTAAATGAAGCAAGCACAATTTACATACTAAGACAAAACTAAGGTTAATTGTCCAAACATTTAGAAGATATGTAGAAAAAAAAGATAATTTCTATCTTCAAAACAAAATGGTGTGCGCAAAAGCCTTGATATATATAAAATATACATTAACAATATAACAGACAAAGAAGACATTTCAAATAGTTTAAAGATGATATTGTAAACCACAGATTGGTCTTTTTAAACTTAAGGGTTATGGAGTCTAAAAGCATTCAATGAAGTTCTTTTAATCTTGCATTCTTATAGGTAGTAACTCGTCAATGTCAAAGGCGTAATACCATCTTAAAAAGAATAAATATTGATGTTTCCCTCGCGACAATAAACATTATTATGTCCTTACTGTTTGACTTAGTCGTAGTTGTATTGTTAACAGCCGTCACTTTACCAAATGTAAAAGGTTTCTCAGTTGAGGATGTTGAACGAAAGCTATGCGAGGACCTAGGTTTATTAAGAAGATGACTTTGAATAAAATTAATCCTTATATAACAACCAAACAAAAAATAAACAAAAAAATGCTTGTTTCCTTTCAAAAATTGTCAAAACCAAAAAAGATTGTGTCAAGATGAATGAGGTTATTATCGGAACTGTCCATTATGCAAAACAGTCCAAGAAAATAAGAATGTTAAAGCGCATTAGAAATTCCATGCCAAAAACATTTCAAACGATAGGTCATATGCTCTAAACTATCGGTGCAGTGTCTGATAATTAAGTGACGAAAATGCTACTAATGGACTGACATTTAAAATGCCCTGTCTAAATAAAACAAAACATTAATTTCTTCGACAAACTTCTTACTTCTGGTCCTACATTCATTAAAAATAATATATAGTGAATTGCAATAAAGGGGAAGTAACTCTTAAATGTTGTTCCACTATTAATCAGGATTCGTGTCGAACATCAGTGAGAACAGTAACTTATTATTATTATTATACTGGTGGAGAAAGTCAATGAGTTGTATTAGTGGCAAGACATATCCCCACGACTCCACTTCTCCTTTGGTTATACTAAGTAACAAAGGGCCAACTTATCAAGTATAGGGATGCCCAAAAGGTGTCGGAAGATGCTCACTTTGGTGTCACATCTGACGTTAATATCTCGTTAAGACATAGGAGTAAACAGGTAGAGTTTAAAAAAGCGTGATCGTGAGTGAGAGGATGAGTCTGACGTAAGCCTAAGCCTGAGTACGGTGTGGACTATACTTTTGTAAACTTGTATATTCGGTTGTGATATTGGGATTTAATTCGCTGTGAAATGTATCAACTGTATTGTTTCTTTACATTGGAGGTATTCAAATGAAGACAGCCTACTTTATGATTGTGACGGATAAATACTCTACAACGTTATTTCAAAAACGGAGATAATTCACTCGACTCCACCAAGAATTGTTAGCATTAAACGAATGTTACGTCACAGAATATTATGAATTATAGTATGATATTGTATTAATGGCTATTGTTTGCTGTTAAATGAAAAAGAGATGATACACACACACACATGTATATATATATATATTTATTTGAAGTACCTCTCTTTTCTGCAAGTTCTTGCTCGGTTGTTAAAGAAAGTTTTATGTATACGCTATTTTAGGGCACACTGTCAATGTCCCTGTGAGACTGGCCAATGGCCCCTCTGCCATGGAAGGACGGGTGGAGATCCAGTACAATCATCAGTGGGGAACAGTTTGTGACGACTACTGGTCTAACGCCGACGCGCAGGTCGTATGCAGGATGCTCGGATTCGCTACGTGAGTCCAGATCACTAATACAGTCTATTCCATTCGGATTAGTTTATTTCGTCTTATCTTGACTCTGTTCAATCCGGATTGTTGTCTAAATATGTCGAGTTCCTGTAGTGTAAAAAGATAGTAACAAATAAATACTCTCTAATATCCGGAACCCTCTGCAAACTGCTCTTATGGCGGAGCCTTATGAGTGTGTATGGTTTAAGTACACTGTATTAGCAGAACATACATGATTTAACTCAAACTCATATCCTAAACGTATGTCATATGATTAGAAAGGTAACGTAATATAACGTTTAGTTTAAGAAATATCATATTGTGATCATAATTGAAGTAATGAGTATTTATTAAAGAATAGCAGTACCTAGCGCGGATAATACGTAATGACAGATGTAAGCATGAGTTAACTGTTACCTGTAAGAAATATTACACCGTCGGATCTGCCTTCTCTTCTTAGGCAACAAGATATCATAACAGTACTTGGAAATGCATTCAAAGATATACAAACATTTAATTTTATAAAGGGTTATCTGCTAAGGGCACTTACGTTTTGAATAGTTCAACATGTGTAAGTGTTCTGCCCATGTAAAGCGGTATATATTAATTAATTGATACATTGTAAAGAATTAGTATTTTTTTTTGTATATTTATATTTTGCTTGCTCTACCTGGAATCTATTATTGTTCGTAAAACCCGATTCCGTGAGTAAAGTTATTTTCGAAGTTTTTGTTAGAAAATATTTATTTGACTGGTACATGTACGTGTTGTTCTGAACTATAACATGAAAGGGACTGTTGTCCGCAATACTAAGAAGAAAATAACCTATATACGCACATCACTGACACACGATTATGGCTTGTTTGTTCAATAGCGACGGAGCCCAGTCATTCAACAATTCGAGGTACGGTCAAGGCACTGGCCGTATCTTAATGGATGACGTCAAGTGCGTGGGTACAGAGACCAACTTGGGACATTGTCAGTTCCAGGGGTGGGGCATCAACAACTGTGACCATTCTGAGGATGCCGGCGTCCGCTGTAACCCAGGTACAGCCTGTTATAGTAATATAAACTAATAGGTCAATTTCATGGATTTTTATTTATAATTTTCACAAACAATCAATCTATATAATGTCTAATGGTAACCTCGATTTAAGGATCCCTGCACATACATTTACCTCCCTTGGTTTTATTTTGGATATATTTGAAGCGGGGTGAGATTAATACCGGTGACCATGCTGGTAGCTTAGTATGTTAGAGCGACAGTATTATAAAATGTAGTAAAGGTTCAAATCGCAGTTTGCCCTATTTCAACACTGTTGTTGATGTGGGGGTTTTCGGGTGTGTTTTTTTTTTTTATAAAAGTTGTGCTAGGCGTTTTAATCTTTTAATAAGTGAATTATTAACGAAATGATCATGCCGCAAACAAAATTCTCAACGCATGGTTACAGTTTTCGGCACATGGATCCTTCAGATTTCAACTTTCAACACAAAAGAACAGTGCGTTTAACTTTGGTGTACTCAAATTTCTGTGAATCTATAATTTTTATCTTTTTCAATAAGCAAAAATTAGCACCAGAATTACAAACGAAAATATTTCATGGGATGCTTTCTTCTCTCGTAGCTGGTACCGTGACAACCAACGTACAGGTCAGACTGGTGGGCGGTTCCAACACTAACGAAGGTCGCGTGGAGGTGTTCTATAACAATACATGGGGAACCATCTGTGATGACTACTGGGGAGCAGTGGATGCTAAGGTCATTTGCCGCATGCTGGGCAAACCCACGTAAGTCCTACTCATACTTAAGCCTGTTCGTGAAATCTGACGTAAGTAAAACTATTATTTATAAATTATGGCATGCAAACCCAAGTAGATCACACTAATACTAAACTATTTTTGACAAATTCACGTACCAAATAGTTTGCCTAATCTTGTCAGTATGAAATAATCGAGCGTTTAAAAATGAGATGCATATCGATCAATATTTCATCTTTTATCAAAGCACTGAACGCATGCACATGGATCATGTTGTAAATTGACAACTGGTAGGCATATATGAAAAAATGGGATACCACTAATTTCAGTAATATCGATTACAGAGTGTCAGTACTGGAATAAATATGATAATAAAATTGCACTTCAATGAATTGTCAGGTTTTAATTATCTCTATTGTCAATTTGATAATTAAAGTTAATTACATAATTAGTCACCCATATACAATTATTTAAAAATAACTCGTACTGCATCCAAGCATTTAACAGGTTATCAATCGAGTGATGATTTTGATGCCTACCAAGCACAATATATCGTAGTGGCCGTATCGTACTTAACAATTTTCTAAAGTTTAGTGCCAAAAAATTAATAAATCGCAAATAATGGGATCTGTAGTTTAGGGGCAGTATTAACAAGGTGTTCAATAAAATGACAGCCAGGTATTAATGCATGTATACGATAAAAGATACACGGTCCTCCAAGCGTTAGCTAAACATAAAACATTCGTCCGTCATTCTTATAATTTTATCGCTATATCTTCATTTTTGCTTTTATTCATTTACATCGCAAGTCCAAATATATTTGCTTGGATTAGAAATCTGTTTACATATGACTCTGCTTTGTGCATCTCACATTTTCTTTCGAAATTTCATCTCGCCGACACTAAAAGATATATATCAATATCATCGAAATATCGAATGCAAATTAAGTATAAAAAAAATCAAAACATACTAGATGATTAAAAATCAATTTCTACACCATTTGGGACCAGGGACACGCACAATGTGTAATCCATCTGAATCGCCAAGAACAGTTTGCCATTAAGTAAGAACCATGAATCTATGACATATGTGATTATAGCAACAATATATATTGTAATTGACGAAAGTAACATCAATGTTTTGTAGTATCGGGGCTGTTGCAAAAACCAACGCATTCTATGGATCAGGCACTGGACCAATACTGTTGGATAATGTAAATTGTCTTGGGAACGAGTCAAGCATTGCTCAGTGTGGGAATCGAGGATGGGGTATCAATAACTGTCGCCACAGAGAGGACGCAGGGGTCGTCTGCTCAGGTAGGTGTAACAGGGGTCATCTTTTTAGGTACGTGTAACAGGGTCAACTTTTTTAGGTTCGTGTAACAGGGATAATCTTTTTTCGGTTCGTGTAACAGGGGTCATCTTTTTAGGTACGTGTAACAGGGTCAACTTTTTTAGGTTCGTGTAACAGGGGTCATCTTTGAAGGAACGTGTAACAGGGGTCATCTTTTTTTAGGTACGTGTAACAGGGGTCATCATTGTAGGAACTTGTAACAGGGTGAACTTTTTTAGGAACGTGTAACAGGGTCAACTTTTTTAGGTACGTGTAACAGGGGTCATCTTTGTAGGAACGTGTAACAGGGGTCATCTGCTCAGGTACGTGTAACAGGGGTCATCTTTTTAGGTACGAGTAACAGGGTCATCTGCTCAGGTACGTGTAACAGGGGTCATCTGCTCAGGTAAATCCAAAATGTGTTTGATAAATCGACGTGTCAACACAGAGAGGACACAAGGGGTTTCTGTTCAGGTACAAATGTAAGTCAAACGAGTGTCTGTTGAAACAGTGTCAAAACAGAGAACACGTAGAAGTCATCTGTTGAAGTAAGTCTAGTCCGTCTTTGCGTATTGCAGAGTTATCTTCTCTTGGGAGCAGGTATTGATTGTTACGTCCCTTGTTTGTGAGAGTAACGTCATCAATTTTTGAGAAAAGGACGTAATTTTCTCCCACAAACCAATGACGTAACAATCAATACCTGATCCCAAGAGAAGATAACTCTGCAATACGCAAAAACGGAATAAGGTGTCTAATGAAGTAAGTGTTGACACAGAAAGGACATAAGGGGCTACTGTTAAGATAAGTCTAACAGGTGTCTAATGAAGAAAGTGTCGACATTGAGACGACGCAGATGTCATCTGACACGTGTCTTGTGATGGAAGTGTCATCACAGACAGGACTCATGTCATATGTGCAGGTTAGCAAAACAGGTGTCTGATAAAGCAGATGTTAAAAAGGAGTGGTGAGGATACATATGTCGTATATTTCGTTAAAGTTTGACCGCACGCTGTCACCATTTGAAGTTTTGGAGGCACGGTAGTCTAGTGGTAGAACGCTGGGCTCGTGACCGAAGGGTTGCGGGTTCGAGTCACGGCACGGCACTGTGTTGTATCTTATAGCAATATACTTTACTCCGCTTGTTCAGGTCTACTAAGCTGTAAATGAGTACGTGGGTGGGTTGAATTGTTGAATTGTTGAATGCTAGCTGTGAACGCTGACCTACTAACTAGGTTGTGATAAAGTAGTATATAAGAACCTCGATCATTGTTAAAACAGAATTAAAACAGAAAGTCGGAAAGATTAACATTTTACTTTGCTGATTATTTTCATTCAAACAAATGTCTTATAATAAATGGTATTGATAGACTGTGTTATGTAAAACCTATTATACGGACATAATACAGTAGATTTTTAATAATAGAATCTAAAATGATCCAGACACTTTTTAAACATTTTTGCTGCAATGTTCATGCACTATTTTCTTATTAAGGCCGAACGCAAGTGACTCCTTTGCGTCTTGTCGGGGGAAGGACAAGGTACGAGGGACGTTTGGAGGTGTATCATTCAGGAGCTTGGGGTACCGTATGTGATGACATGGCGAACTTTCATACCGCAACCGTCGTGTGCAACCAGTTGGGATACTTAGGGTAAGTGCGGACAGGTCACGGCAATTCTTCCAACTTGAACGGTGAACAGATTAAACCACACGAGGAAAACAGCAAGGCACATGAGCAAAGAACCTTCACCATTACAACAATGCAATACATGTTTAGTCACAATGGCGATAATAAATTACATATATACTAGTCGGTGCATTTATAATGACAATAACAGAAAACAAATACAGAGAACACATACTATCACAATAACACAGTAGATATATACAGCGAATATACAGCATAGCAGTACACGTAACATGATCCATATACAGTGAATATACAACATAGCAGTACATGTAACATGATCCATATACAGTGAATATCCAGCATAGCAGTACACGTAACATGATCCATATTCAGTGAATATCCAGCATAGCAGTACACGCAACATGATCCATATACAGAGAACACATACTATCACAATAACACAGTAGATATATACAGTGAATACACAACATTGCAGTACATGTAACATGATCCATATACAGTGAATATACAACATAGCAGTACATGTAACATGATCCATACACAGAGAATATACATCATCAGAACAACAAAGAACGCGTACATGGAGAACGTGCACCGTAATAAAAAGAATATACATGTACACGGATAATTTTTATCATTCTAACAACTATTTCTATGACCACAATCCGAATTGGTGTATTTATACTTGTTCATTCTGTTTCAAGTTACAATCGAATTATTCTAAACAAGATAGTACAAAAATAAAATAATAGGCGTTATAATTTTTTGTTTGCAGTCCTGTAAGAATGTTAAGACTAAAACTAGTAAAATCATGATTTTTAATGATTAAATTACATGTTTTTCTTACCCCTATGCTTGCAATGATTGCATACCTTTATTTCAAACTTAAATACCCTGTATGATGGTCAATGTTGAAATAATTTCTAAATTCATGCAAAAAGCAACAGTCAGCATCTACCAGTGATAGCCAACGTCATTATTCTTATATCAAAAAGGCAATGATGCAAATTAATTATTATAGCTTTGCTGTTCTGTCTTTACAGAGGTATCCCTTCAGTTCGAAGCAATGCATTCTATGGAGCAGGAACAGGTCAAATTTGGATGGATGATTTGAGGTGTGCGGGAACGGAGATATCACTGGATGGGTGCAACTTCAACCAGCCATGGGGAACAAATGATTGTGACCATAGTGAGGACCTTGGTATAGTTTGTAGAAGTGAGTTTTTTAAAGTGTTTTCTTTACTGTTGGTCCGTAGAACCACTTACAGACTGTTACATAGCAGAACAGTGTTAAGATCGTTTTGGGATTCATCTCGTTATACTGTGCTGTTTTTTATTTCTCTTTTCTGAAAACAGTTTTTACAAAATACAAAGTTAGGTTTAGATATGAAACAAACTATGATTGTGTGCTATTTTGAACGTAATTCTTGGTATGTCTATGTCAACGGTTGCTCAGTTTTAACATCAAAACACGGACAAGTTGTTCATGCATATATCTTTCTTTGCTAGCTCGGAGAAACCTACAATACAGGACAATTCAATAAATACGTTCACCCTCTCATATACATACATTAAATACTACACAACTTCTGCGCGAACGAGGTACCGGACATCTGAATACAGACCGCTATAAATATATTAATTCAAATAACTAAATGTTACAATCACACGATAGCTATTACACTAATACTGTTATACATACCGGGTATGATGTTCCTAGTATAGCCTGCTAATACATGCTGGCGGCAATGTGTCTTTACGCCCTCTATATAGTCAATATATCAATATATCAACGCCTTTATCAGTAAATCTGGAGTACATATCCTTCTCTCACGGGTCGGATTGTAAGAATGACCACTGGGCAGTAAGTATTTACCCAGTAGCCAGAATATAGTAGCGGGAATACAGGTGCTTTATTCGTGCAAGGGGCAGGTACAAGGTCTACGTCGCAAGTACAATTCAGTCAGAATGTTGAAACAGAACATAACAACACAGGTACATCCGAACTGATGACGTCTCGTTGTAATATATATTTACACACATCATATATATATATATCATATTATAAAAAGAAAAATTCTCAACAACGAGTCTTTAGTACTTTCATCTCTTCTAGGAGATTCTTCAGAGTCTTTAACCTTTCTTTAAGCAATGTGAAAGTTTCACCGCTCTCTCAAACTAATCACAACATGCATCAAAACTCTGCCGTTATATATCATATTATATATACCCGGGTTACATCTACATACTACACGCTTCGAATGCGTGAACCAAAATACCTATAACATGATTATTTACGCATTATGTTTTTCATAACGATGTTGTTATCGTGAATTGTCACAAGAATAACAACTATGTCATATATGTATACGATATTACATTTGACTTTGTGTTGGCGCTGTAATACACCAATTATTGAGTCTATGGAGGGTGTACTACGCACATTACGTGTTACCTCGAGTCGAACAATGAACATGGTTTTTACGCAGTAGATAATGAAATAGATGTTATATGTTTGTTGTAGTTAATGCCTAGCCTATTTGTCTTTTCAAATGGTTTAAGCAATGTGAAAGTTACACCGCTCTTTCAAACTAACAACAACATGCACCAAAACTCTGCCGTTATCCCGAAAACATACTTTTTGTTTGTAACAAACTTGTTGCTAACTTTGTAGTTATTGCTTATTTATGAGCGCTGAATGTCCAGCACAAGCATGCTTTGGCGGCAAATGATGAGTTTTTAGTTACATGTATGGAATCGATGTCTATTGGTTTGAAATAGTTTTTTGTTTCTTTATCTGGTTATGATATTGTTTCGACTTTGGGATTTTAATCTTTTTGTGAATTTTCTTTACAGCTGCGACTGTGCCTATCAGACTTGTTGATCCGAGTGGGAATCCGAATCAGGGTCGTGTTGAGATCCGAGTCAACAATACCTGGGGCACTGTATGTGACGATCAGTTCAACTCCGTCACTGCCGGTATCGTCTGTGGTATGCAAGGTTACAGCAGGTTTGTGTCATTGTTGAAGAACTGTAACATTTGTATTCGGGTTGGCATGGCAACTTAATTATCCTGTTTGTTTATGATCACTCGACATACTTAAGACTGTTGTAATCAGTTTAAATAATATTATGGTCATACAATAACATGCCTGTTTAGGGTATTACACTTCTGTTGAGGTTCGTATGGAAAAGGCCATTTTCATTTAAGACATACTTCAGTATTATTCATAGATTTCCTAAATGAATTTATATAATAATATGTTAGACGACATATTACAATTTGTTTAGATTTCAATTAAATTGTATTTCCCAGGCATCTTTAAGGAGGGATGTCGGGGTTGAGGATCCCCGGGTTCATCCCTCTAACAAATGCAGCCTCACGGAGGATCCCTCTTTTCCTTCATTCACTTTACTTTTCATTTCTTCCTTTTTTTAACCAACATTTTATTTATTCTTTCATTCTCATTCATTCCAATTATATGTTGCAAGTATATTTAATTAAATTGAAATTCAATAGTTTCTTGTCTAAAGATCTTTTGTTTATATATATTTGGCTTACATCGACGTTGAAAGACTCGGAGGTGATATTAACAGCATATTATTTTCTGTCCTTTTTGTGATATTTAATTGCGTTTGTACATCTAACAGAACTGGAGCTATAGCGAAGGGTTCCGCTTTCTTTGGGGCAGGGGGTGGCCCTATCCTTCTAGACGATGTTCACTGTGTTGGTGGTGAAACAAACATACTTCAATGTGCTTCCAAACCATTCGGCATGAACGATTGTTCACATAGTGAAGACGTGGGCGTTATATGTCAAGTCGGTAAGTGCTGATTATATTGACAAAACCTTATACTGACAAAACCGTGTTAAAGTGACAATCCATATTAAGGTAGATATAGAAAGATAAATTGATAAATAAATAAGAAAAATGAAAAATAAGGTAAAGGGGTAATATCTTGTGCTATGTACCTTGCTTGGGTGCTGATCCTTATAGTTTTTCTTAAATTAAACAGATTATCATGAACAGATTTCTCATGACAGGTACAAGGGATAACGTGCATGTTTCTTTGTAGGCTTTAGTCTTAAATATCATAATGTAAAAATATATTTGCCATTTCTTTTTATAAAAATTCTTCCTGGACTAATATGTGTCGACATTACAAATTTTCTGACAGAATCAATCCCGATGCGTCTAGTAGGAGGACCTAACCGCATGAGTGGACGTGTTGAGGTGTTACACAACGGTACATGGGGAACGGTCTGTGACGATTACTGGACCAGTAACAATAACGCCAAGGTTGTCTGTCGCATGTTGGGCTACCCAACGTAAGTACATAGGATTTGTCGACTAACGACTACGTAATTTACTGACAATTCGTGTCATGCTTAGGCGAGACAAGAATTATGATCAAGCAGGACAACAACGGAGATGCGGTTCCTGGATACTAGTTTACCTTTGTCGATTGTTTTAGTTAATATTGTTACTGCAATGAGTATCTAAAATTGATTATTAGAACCCCGTTGAAACTACGGGAGGGGACTGCAAAATTGTTCTCCTGCCGTCAGTTCGTCAGCCGCTCTTTGGTCTTAGTCTGAAGAAAAATACCATCATGGCGAAATTCTTCACAGGTATGTGACTATGCATTAGTTTAAATGCTCTACTTTTATGGAAATCCCTTGTGGATTTTTTTTAAAGTATTGGCTAAACTAGAAGATTGTTTAATATGAATTATTGGCTTTATAAAACAGAGCTGGAGCATTCTCACGCTCGAGAGCATACTTTGGAGCAGGAACAGGACCTATATTGCTGGATGATCTTCGATGTAGTGGCAACGAGTCCACTATTGCGAGTTGTAGTCATCGTCCCTGGGGCACAAACAACTGTCGGCACGCAGAGGATGTCGGTGTCGTTTGTTCAGCAAGTATGTACCTCTTTACTTAATACAGTGTAAGGTTTTCAGCACATGCGTACCCCTATTCCGTCTTTGCGTATTGCAGAGTAATATTCTCTTGTGAGCAGGTATTGATTGTTACGTCATTTGTTTTTGAGAGTAACGTCATCAATTATTGAGAACACGACGTAATTTTCTCACACAAACCAATGACGTAACAATCAATACCTGTTCAAAAGAGAAGATAACTCTGCAATACGCAAAGACGGAATACCTAACACAGTATGGTGTTGAACAAGTACCTAGTTACTATTGGAAAGCTCAGAAAGTGTGTATCTTTATCACGAACACAATAGGGTGTTTATCTATTACGTAGTTCTATCCAATTAATTGTGGTATATCTTCAACAAATCTGTAACCAGTAACTGAACACAGAAGGATGTTCCTCAATTAGAAAGTAGAGATATTCTGAACAAAGTGTTCACAATTAAGACTGTCTTATATATATAAAACTGTATTCTGAATTCAAATGCGGGGGTGAAACATAGAAGACCATTAGGGAAATTGATTTCTCTCGCTCTCTCTTAACTTTGAGCAAGATTATGTAACAAGCTTCAAAATCCTATCCAAGTTTTTGAAACTGTTGTACGCCATAAAGGCCAAATCAAAAATTTTGATAGTAATACACATCTGATAATAAGATTGTAGTTAACAAAAAATGTAACTTTTAATTTGGAACAGAAAGGACATTAATATAAATAATAATAAAATATCATATCCGTTCTCGTATTCCATTTTTCTGTATTATAATTTAAGCTATGTTTTTTTCAATCATTTTTTTTTATTGAAATTGAATGAACTACTTTTACTTTGCCTGTTCATTGATATGTTTTCCTTAAAATGCCAATATTCATTTATGCATAATTTAGTACAGACAATTATGTATTGGAGAAAATACATGTACACGTATTGTATTATTTGTTTATCATTATAACATTAATTTCTTAAATCACAAATCGAATTGGTGTATTTATACTCTGTTTCAAGTTACAATTCAATTATTCTGAACAAGATAATACAAAAATAGAATAATAGGCTTTATAATTTTTTTTGTTTGCAGTCCTGTAAGGATTTTAAGACTAAAACTAGTATAATCATGGTTTTTAATTGTTTAATTATACATATTTTTGACAAATATGCTGGCACTGATTGCGTACTTTAATTTCAAACTAAAATGCCCTTTTTGTTGTTCAATGTTGAAATAATTTCTAAATACATGCAAAAGGGTGCAGTTAGCATTGAACATGGATAACAAACGTTATAATTGTTATGTAATAATAAATGCAATGAAGTAACTACAGTATTAAAGTTTCACTTTAAAATTAAATATTCATTTATGCATATTTGAATACAGACAACTATGTATTGAAGTTAGTAATAAGAAATAAAAAAAAAATGATATTAGATTACGAAAGAAATTTAGTTAATTAATTGCCATGGCAAAAGCGCAGCGAATTTACCAGATTATTGTTTTCATGTAGCGACTACTCCAGCAGCGACAACAACTCCGCGTGTGACAAACCCTCCTCCGTCAACGCCCAATCCAAGTCAAGTATTCGTGCGTCTTGTCAACGGTCACTCTGCCAACGTTGGACGTGTGGAAGTATTTGCCAATAACGTGTGGGGTACAGTTTGTGATGATCTGTGGAACAGCAAAGACGCTGGAGTCATATGTCAGATGATTGGCTACAGCAGGTGAAGACACTATTTAAATGTCTGTTCTGCATTATACTTTGCAAACTATGTCTTCTTTTTCCAACACAAGAAACGTTTTTACCGTGTATAAAAGGTCCCATACTCACTCCCTGTATTCTACTTGTTGCAAATCCATTTTCTCACGTCCAAAGACGTCTCTGCCCTAGCCCTAGCCCTAGCGTGTGTCCCTACTTGCCATTTCTATAAACGTTGAATGTATACATGTAATGTGAGGATTTATATCTTTGGAATAGTACTGGTGCTACTCCAAAGCCACGGGCAACGTTTGGACAGGGAACAGGGCAGATTTGGCTGGACAATGTCAACTGTACCGGAGCTGAATCCTCCATCACTGGGTGTCACTCAAACGGCTGGGGTGCACATAACTGTGGCCATCAGGAAGACGCAGGAGTTGTTTGCCCCACCAGTAAGTCACCACAAGCTTTCCTATTATGTCAGCAGGGCTATTCGCTGTTGCCATAGTTCCGGAGTTAGTTGTTAATATTGTCATGGGGCTTTACTGTAAAACAACTTTACTCAAACATGTGTGAATGGGGACATTATAAAATATGGAAATACATGTTATCATATTACCTAGAGTCCATGTGTCCTGTTATTGTGTTCTGTTTGTAAAGGTATTCTTTCCTTCCACAGCCCAAATCCCAAACAACTTCTTGCTCGTGACAGACACGACTAACCGACAGGTGTACCGCATGGACATCGGTAGTAAGAGCTACGTCACTATTCCACTTAGTAACCACGATAATCCAATTGCAATCGACTACAATCCCTCCAATTACCGGATCTTCTGGACTGACGTTGGATCCAAGCAGATACGTATGGCCGGTCTCAATGGCTATGCAGAGAAGACCATCCGACAATTCTCTCAAAGTAAATTTTCCCATATGCTTCGTTCATAAGATTATAATAAAGCTCAGCTTATCTCTTCAAAGGTGTGCGCATGTTTATATAAAATGATTATGTTTTCTGTTGGACGATACTAAGTGAGCGAGGACATTAATTAAGAAACACATGATCACATTTTAAAGCTTGAAATGTCCGACCAGTGTGCCAGAACATTACAAATACATCGGGAAAATCTGCATTCATCGAATTAAATGTCAATATCTTGAAACTCTGCAAAAATAATATAACTGTTATTTGAGTAACTGGTTATGTTGCAGAGGCTGTGATGGATGGGATTGCTGTAGATGTCGTATCTGGACTAGTATTTTACACCGACACAGGAAATGATGTGATTGTTGTCATGACAATCGCTGGAACCGCGCAAAAAACCATCATCAGCCAGAATCTAGACCAACCAAGGGCCATAGTCGCAGACCCCCAGAACGGGTAAACATAATGTTGTTGCAGATTCATAGAACAAGAAAACGTAACATAATTCCATACAAACAAAATGGATTTTTTTTTAATACAAACAACGGCAAACTAGACATAGTCACCTCAAGCTAAACCAGATAACCAGGCAGATGTCCCAAGTAGTTAAAGAAAGCATAATACAAGTCAACTTATCAACTCAGTCATATTAACTGAAACGGGTAAACGTGATACTTTTGCATAAGCCTAAAAATACATAGCAACAAACATCTAAAAGCAGTCAACCGTGACATTCTCATGAGGTGAAACGTATTACATAATCAGTTACGCGCGAAAAAAAAAGTTAACAAAAGCGTGTATACCACTGAACATAACACACAGAAATAAAACAACAGACTAAATAAAACAATACGTATGTCTTATAGGCCCCAGAATCAAGTGAATAGATCAATGATGTGTAATCTTTTTTTTTTCATTTTCAGCGTAATATACTGGACGGACTGGGGAAGCAGTCCTCGCATAGAGCGTGCTAACTATGACGGAACGGGACGACGTGCTATCGTCAACACAGGGCTTAAATGGCCGAATGCTTTGGCAGTAGACGTACAGGGCAACAAGATGTATTGGGCTGATGGCGGCACTAACAAGATCGAGTCGGCACATCTTGACGGAACCCAGCGCACCACCCTCCTTGACGAGAGCATCAGTCACCCGATATCACATTACTTTGGTCTGGCCCTCCTCAACGGCCAGTTATACTTTACCGACTGGTCTCGCACGTGAGTAAAGTAATGTTTTACCCGTGTTTACAAAGCATATGTTGTAACAATGTTTCATTTTATATATTTTTTCACCAGAACTATGTCTTAATTCATTTAAGGATTGAATTATGTTTTGTTAAGGTTTATGGGGAATAAACCTCAGTGGGTCTTGAGACAAATTTTGGCTCAAGACCCATTGAGGTTTATACCCCATAAACCTCAGCAAAACAGAATCCAATCCTTATATTTACATTCAGAGCGATATTGATATTTGTTCGGATCATTTCTAAAATATCGGTCTTGTGCAAGTCTAACACCACGACAGGTATCAAAACTTATGACGTCATCACTCACTGAGAGACGTCGTCCTGGTAAGATGAATAAGTAAATTAAGATGTGAATTAATTTTTGAATTCAATTGCACACTGCTGACGATTTTTTATTTAATTTTAAAACAATCTGTGAATGGAACTACTTCCCGAGCTCCGCGGAATAACAGAGCAATCAGGTTGATAATGTGCTGATGTATTCATACGCCAACTGAACAGTTCATTGAAAAAATAACCTTTAAAATGTTACGTAGGTATATTGAGTCCAAGTTCAGTAGAAATGTAAATATTACGATAACAATTCCAGCCTATTGCAAACAAAGGAAGAGAAATGAAATACTAAGTCTCTATAGTTGATTATGAAAACAGTCCTCAAAAAGATAACCCATGTCGTGGTATTTCACTCTTGTCAGAACAATAATGACAATTGGCACCGATGGATCAAATCCCGGTCCTTTCGGGCCCCCAGCATTTGGTCGGCTGAATGACATTCATGCACATAAGAACGGAGTAGGATTTAGTGGTCCCAATGGATGTTCGGCAGGAAAGGGTGGATGCAGTCATATCTGTTTACCTAAAGGAGCTAGTAGCCATATGTGTGCCTGTCCAGATGGGTTAACACTTCAGCCAAATGGACTCAGTTGTGGTCAAGGTAACAGTGCGCTGTTTTTATCTTATTCACTCATAATATTTATTTAGATAAGACTTATTTATGTTACAGAATGAACTATATCAATTATAAAGGAATGAACATCAACAACTTATATCAATACATTAACATAATAAATGTAGATATATCATTGTGTGTGTAAAATTATTGAGAGCAACAAAATTATGCACGAATAAATATTATTTTAATTATTTATTACTCCAAACGATAACTTAAGTAATAGGAGTAAACGACCGTATTAACTATGACGGGGTTTTCCGTAATACTCCCGTTGTCTTTGCAATGAAGTGATTTGTTCAGATCGCATATACGGTAACTGTTTCAAAGTCTAAATCCCCATCATACCAAATATCACTTCCAACTCCATATTCCAAATTTACAACATCTTTTATCAATAAATAGGATATGGTTCAGCTATCTTTTCATTTTCTCTGGAGTATATAAGATATTTTACTAATTTTCCCGGTATATTACAGCCATTCCCTGTTCGAGCCTACAAGCACCCCAGAATGGACAAATAACTCCGGCCAACTGTTCAAGTGGAGAATCTGGATCAGGTGCCGTTTGTCAAGTCTCGTGTAATACTGGTTACTTCCTGTACGGACAATCCAGCGTAACCTGTTTATCCAATGGACAGTGGAGCAATTACGGACAGAACTTCATTTGTAGAGGTACTATTATTTTCCCCATACATTATCGCCGTCAATTTAAGTTGTTTATACTTTATATATGTTTTTATGATTTAATGTCTCACTGACTTTTTTAAAGAAAAAACTCAATAGTATTAAGAATAATATCTTACTGTAGTCTTTTAAAGATAGTACTCATTAGGTTTTTATAATAAGGGTCTCTTCGCGCGCTTTAGAACAATAACTGCTAGCCTATTTTTCTGAAAATTGATCTTGATCTGAAATGTGTATCTCTTTGATTTTACTTTGTAGACAACCAGCCACCGACAGTGAATTGTCCAGCGAACCTACAAGTCAGTGCTGACAAGGGGGCCCAAACAGCCACCGTGTCTTGGCCCAAACCTACCGCCACTGACAACTCCGGTTCTAACGTGGTCGTGTTTCAGAGCATGCAATCCCCTACCACCCTCGGCGCGGGATCCTACACCGTCACCGTTATGGCTTATGATCCTTCTGGACAATCTGCATCGTGCAGCTTCACAATCAAGGTCACAGGTATGTATGTCAAGGTTATTTCTAGTGGTCATGTGCTTATAAAAAGCCATATTAAAGTAGTTAAGAAAGTCCTTTAATTTAATACAAAAAAACACCCGCATCAGATTTACATCATGATCACTTTAAAAATGACTGGAAGTGAAATAGTCCCTGTACTAAAAGCACCCTTTGGAGAATATGCCTATAATCGTGACTGGCAGTAAAGTCAATTGATTGAAAATTATGACATGATGAATGCCGGTAAAACACAATTAAGATAAAAAGTTCTCAAAGTCGGTTCATATTGAATTTGTGAATATTATTAAATGCAATTCTGATTTTTGTCACATTATATAGTTAATATTCAATAACATGTGACGACATTACCTGATTAAATATACGTTTATAAATATAATTATCAGCTAAACGAAAAAAGTATTATTTGAAAAACATACCCCTGGGTCCGTATAACACAATGAACAAATGAATGATAAGGAATTGTTACATCAATTATTGACACAAAGTGTAAATGGTGAAGTGGGTGCATTTTATCTTAATGTTGGACTAAGACGGTATATGGAATAACATTGTTTTGTTATTTCAGTGCTGACTTGCCCACCTTTGAACCCTCCTGCCAATGCCGTCATCACCAGCCCAACGTGCGCGTCCTTCTACGGGACATCCTGCCAAATCGGCTGCCAATCTGGCTACCAACTCAAGGGCAACTCATACGTGTCCTGTGATAAAACTGCGGCCGGTACCCCAGCGTGGACCGTCATGGGCAGGTCATGCGTCCGTGAGTACTCCTTTACTCAAAGATGAATTCACTTCAGGATGAATCTACAGCATATGTTATGCAAACTGCAGTTGACGTAGTATTATGATCCCGTAGTGAACAAAAGGACCATTCCATGTAACAAGAGATGACGCAACATACTTCTCTTCCTTAACGTCTAATCTGTTTCCCTGTAAAGTACCATGAAACTTTATCTATCTTCGCTGAAAAACTTTTATTCGGAAATAGTCGCACGAAATGCGATGTGAGGAACCATCTTCTAAAATGTGCATAAAATTCAGGGAAATAGTTACAAGACTCATCGGTGCGTTTGAAATCGAAAGACTAAGAATCCTTGTCTGGAGTGTTCAGAACATATACAGCAAAATGGAAAATTAAGACATTTTTTTCGCTACAAAAGATATTCTGTTTTAAACTAGCATGTCGTGTTTACTATGCCAGTACAAATTCCAGTTGTGGCACTCTTATTAGCTGATACAACTGTCTCTTCCGAGTGTGCAAACGCTTTTTGTCTCTATCTTTCTGTAAAGCATTTATAATATTATCTGAAGATTTGGCAACGGTAAACGTGTCTTTTGATTCTCTGTTTAGCGAACCCATAGACTATTTCATCAACCCGGGTGGTTTATAGGAGGGCGCCGACTTTCCTTCAATCCCTTTCCAATGGGGAGTGATAAATTTCGCCTACCTTTTTGACCCTTTCATATTTGCCGACGTTACATCAGTGCACACTTACATGACATGGCATGAAAAGATATGAATACACCTGGCAAGGGCTCTGTATGTCTCTTCTCCGATTAGTAGGCAAATTTCTACTATCCTATTAGGTAGACAAACATCAACTCTGTTATCTGTAACGCCATTTTTAACCTTTCTAAATGAAGCATTTATTCCTTTTTTAGAAGAAGTATTTTTAATATCATATATGTTGTTTAGCGTATCTCTTACAGAATACATTTAAGTAGACATTCAACTGCACTCATTTATTGTTTTTGTGTATTTGACGTTACTGCACTCATTTCGTATTTGTAAATACTGTTACAAAGTACCAACAGCTGTTTTGCATACTTCAAGGTCACTTTCGCTATAAATAATATTGTCATAACTTTGGAAGGTTCACCTCGATTTATGCTCTAAATTGAATTCTTCAATACCTCGACCGAGTTGATAATTCTTAGTCAAAGATAAAAAAAAAAGATACAACTAATGACATTTATTATGCATTATACGAATTAATCAATATGAACAACAAAAATGAATGAAGACGACCTAATTCACGCACATGTTTTTTTTTTATAATTATAGAGTCCGGATTTCCTTTATTAATAAGCAGGACATGCACTAACTCACATTCCTAGTATTTATGGATCTGGCTTGCGCTTAACATAAATTTCTTGAATTTATAGAGTTGACGTGCCCAAAACCCCTTTTGCCTGGAAACGGAATTATCACAGCCTGCACAGCCCCCTACACAGTGGGGGCATTGTGTGTCCAGTCCTGCAACAAGGGATTCTCGGCTATAGGGGGCACCACAAATCTCCAATGCCAGTCTAACGGCGTCTGGGCTGGTCAGACCCTCACGTGCTCTAACGGTCAGTATATATAATATGTATTTGATATATGCCACATTGATCTTTACTCTCATCTATTTTTACTGTCGTGATTTCTTTTTCAGAAAGTTGTGTATAGAAATAGTTGATAATCATTGTAACTGTCTTAGTACAATATTCTACAAATTGTAATGAGCGTGACAGTATCAGAATATATCATGTTGTTCGTTATTAGTGTATAATAGCAACTATATGGCAAATATTTAAATAGACAACTTGAATAGGGCAATCTCAAGACTGATCGCAAGCTCTTGAGTAACTTCTGGATACATGTGGTTTAGCTCCATTAAACTTTGTAGCTGTATTATGGTAACATTAAAACCATTATTTTGATCCATTCTAATAATGTGTAATGAATTGTTTAAAGTTTTTAAGTTTTGAACTATTTGACCTACATTGGTATGATACACTGGGATGTTATCTTGTACTGAGAAAAGGACTTTTTTTCATAAACAAAATCTGTTCATAAAAAATGTTGTGTATGTTAAATCATAAGAGCTTATCAAAATAGATGTTTCCCCAAACTCATTCAGACAGTAAATATACATTTCCATTTCATATTATAAATATCTACGCTCGTCTCCTTTTTCTCAGAAGCGTATAATAAAAGTGGTTATTGACAATGGATAGAGTTGTAGAAGAAAGACAGACAAAACTTGAATCATAAATCATAGTTATACCTAAAACAGGGAACGGGGGGTACGAGACAGAAGATGTACACAAACTTATATAGTATATTATACGATAATATATTTGTTATTGGGATTTGTGGATGTTATAAAGTTACTTCAGGAAAAAAAGTTTTGTTTTCCCTGTTTGAAGTACACGTAATGCTAACGTCGAAAGTACATAACTATTTGTATTGTGTTAATGTTTCATCAGAAACCAGTAGAATGATTTGTCTCGTTGAAGTGACTATTCAGTCTTTGCGTATTGCAGAGTTATCTTCTCTTTGGAGCAGGTATTGATTGTTACGTCACTAGTTTGTGAGAGTAACGTCATCAATTTTTGAGAAAACGACGTAATTTTCTCGCACAACCCAATGACGTAACAATCAATACCTGCCCCCAAGAGAAGATAACTCTGCAATACGCAAAGACGGAATACTACCGTCTGATGAAGGATCCTATTACAGTGATATTTCGACTTGTGTTTGTAGGTTTCAGTGGTTCCGGTTCCTCTGCTGCTGTTCGTTCCGGGTCCTCCTCCACATCATCCTCCTCCCTCTCGGAATCCAGTATATCAGGGATTGTGGCAGGCTGTGTCGTAGGAGTCCTTCTGATTGTAATCATAGCAGCGGCCGTGTTCCTTTACAACAAGAGGATGTAAGTTTTTGTTACTGACTATACAAATATCACTGCATCTGATGACAATAAAATACACATGTAGCATACCCTCCTGATTAACACATTAATATTTAACTTATCTGGTGACAATTAAATATACATCACAGTATATACTCATTGTGAACACATTGATATATGAACTTAAATGGTAAAATTCTTGTTCATACATGTATATTCTGCAAAAATATTGGTTTATATAAAAACTTTCCTGATGACAAAAGAGCGTCTTATAACTATAGCCAAGGTTGGAGTGAATTCTGTTACAGATTTTTAATTTGCTCTCTCTAAATTTGAGTAGCATTTTCAAATTTAGTATTCCTTGTCATCAATCATTCATCAAGAAAATCCTTTAAATGGCATTTCTGTTGCAAAATGGATTTTTTTTTTAGAATTTCATGAGCTATCCATCACACTTAATTGCCCACTCATTATAATTTGACAGGCAACACAATTTGATAAACGGCACGGGTGGAGCACGAAGTTATGAGTTGGGCGGAATGAGCAACCCTAACTACAGCAGTACTAACCAGTAAAAATGTCAGTTCGCAGTGAGAAAGGAAGCGATCCTGATGACGTAATAACAACCCGAGATTATTGAGGTCCTGATCGCTTATGATGAACAATGCACCCACTATTTGTATTTATATTGTTTTCGTACTTGATAAACTTAACGGACCCGTGCAGTGTTTTACGCATAATTAATGTTGTCTACGTTAATTTCGTTCGAGTTGCGTGAAAATGTGAGTCTGTGTACTTAAGAAATGATACTTATATTCATCAAACCATCCATTTATACTCGTTCATTCGTTTTTCTTATCTAGGAAATAGAAATACCAGAAGCAATTTTATGACGATACAAAAGGTTACATACCATGAGAGATATGGATATCGTTTTTTGGTTGCAAATAAACATTAATTTTGTGATAAAAGACGAGTTCAATTCATCGTAAACCATCTTTTTGCGACTAAATAGGAAATTTCGTTATGAATAATTAATAGACATTGAGACCTTTGCATTGTATGTACTATGAACAACTAAATATCGATTTGTTTTCAACATTAGGCAGGGTTATTTATGACGCTTTTATATGCATTCCTTGATATTTATGGTTTTACGATGTAACACATGAAATTTAATTCTGTGAATATTTGCAATGAATGGCTATGAAGAGTCGTTTATTTGTAGAATGTCAACAGAGGAGTGATTGTGTGCGTATGAATGGGAACATTAATCAATGTCTGTACTTACCATGTCGCTATACTGTCTCATAAATCAACGCTACCGGATATCAACATCAGGGGACATTCTGCTGCAGTATGTAAAATGTTAACCGGGCGATTATCTTCAAACCATTCATGGACGTATCAGCATTGTTTTCAGTTAAAATTCCGGATTTTAGGTGAAATCCTTTTTTTTTTTAACCGATTTTATTCAAGAAAGAAACGGACTAAATACAGTAGTGATTACATGACATCAGATAACGCAATGTGAATTGATTCATATATGTTCAGTCGATAAGATGCAAATGAATTCAGTTAAATTTGGGTTTAAGCTGCTACGGATGCTGCTAAAATGAAAGACCACAAGAGATTTTTTCTTATGAGATGCAAAATAAGAAGATCTCTACACAAAAATCTATGTTAATTCCACGAGCATATCTATAGTCTAATCTACTTCGCCTGCCTATATAGTTATGGGTATAGTATATACTCCTCCCATGGGACAGCTCGACACGCCGCCTACTGATGGTGAAATGTAATAGGGGGAGGAAAAACCATTATGTATACCGAGGGAATTCAGGGAACCAATTAGTTGCTACAAATAATAAATCGCAAGTCATCCGTTCATTCAATTTCATAAAATTGTAAAAGATATCTGCTTCGTGTTTGTGAAACCACACTTTTTGTCTGAACTGAAATATTAAATATTTATACTACATGGAGACTAAAGATGAAAAATATTGTGCAAGAAGATACGCAATATCATGTCAGCACATTTGAAGTGAAAAAAGAAGTTAAGGTACTAGCCTTAACGCTGATATAATGTATCGGAATTACAAAACACGTCACCCATTCATATAAGTGTCAAGTCAAAATGCAACGTGATTCAGCACGCATTAAGGTGTGCATTACATGTGGGCGAGTACATGTTTGTCGCTATTTTCCCCAAAGCAATGCGTCTCAATGCAATCCGTTTTGGCCGGTACTCAATGGACCACAATAATACATAGCCGTGTGTACTCTGTTTAAAATAGTTTTACACATTATCGTAGAGGTTATGTATAAACTCCTGGCCGGTGTTCCTACCGAGCGCAAAGCAAATTATAAATACCACTGTAACAGTGCGCATAGTAAGGGGAGGACTTTGGAGAATCCAAATAATAGTTTGTGAAGCTCAAGTCAAGGGTTAATATTTATGTGCTGAGTAATCGATAATAGGTTCATTTCTTTTGCTAAAAAAATATTTTATGCATTACCAGAAGTCATATTTCACCATTCATATTTTTTGTGTTCCGTGTTTTCGTGTGTCTTTATTAGAGTTAATTGACAAATGGATATGACAGAGTGTATCCTGACTCCAAATTAAAATGTCACGTTCCATATATGTTTTACATTACATTTGTAACCCTTTCACCACTATAGACCTTAATGATGCACTCATCCGTATCAATGCATGGTAGAGTCTACTAAAGTTGCATAGGGATGACGTGTTAAATCTACTTTGATCATCATTGATAATCATGTCGAGGTAATATTCATTTTCAATTTGGTGTTTTTTCATGATTGTTAATTTTGTCATGAATTTGGTTTGATTTTTGTAACATTGATGATTTTTCCATATTTGTAATTCCGAAGAGCATATGTGCAATTCCTGGTGTTATACTCATTCATCCACTGAAATACTCCATGCTGAAATAATATTTTTTTCAATAAAACATTCAATATAATTTCCATGTTTTTGTAATTTTTGACTGAAGAAACCTTTAAATCAAGTTTTTACAAGTTATACTGATGTGAAAAAGCATAAGCTCAGACTAGCAGGGAAACAATATACAGAATAAATATCCAAAATAAGAATCGATAAAATATCAGTTATATATTTCATTACTGACAAACGAGAAAAATGGCATTGATTGTGCGTTTTTATAACGGAAACATTTTAAAATCAGGACTAAACATTGATAGCACAAGTAAACCTCCAGAAATGAGGCTACAGGCGTAAATGGCTCTACTTTTATTTTTATTTTCAGCCTACAATGTGCAATAAAGTATAACTGGTTTTATTTTTCAAACCCAGAGAAGCCAAAAGACAGCTTAATAAATATATAAACACAAGACGAAACATAAATGTCAATAGTTATGTTACAGTCTCCGGCTGTCGCTTTTAAAGATTTAAGGCTTAACAATCTAAAAACCATGTAAAGACATATGGTGGCACAATTCTGATAGAACCGCGATATGACATTATACAAATTAATTTGATATTTAGACTAAGAAATGTAAACAAACATCGGAGAATATCTTATTTCTATTGTTAACTAACTAAATGTCCTTGACTACAGGATTTAGAGCAGATCGGTTCGGACACTTTGTACAGTTTTACTAGAATAGGTTTCCACCATTTGCGTTTTATTCAGAACAAGAAATAAGGAAATATAAAGGTAAACTAATGTACTTGTACACTAAAAATCATGCCCCACTCATTACGTAGAAATACCATGTTTAAACATCACAAAATAACATTAATTTCCGAGTACCGATTTAAGCCCAACAATACATTCACTCTTCATCCCCGTTACCATTGATGCTACATAACCCAATATGGACATTGTAAAGGGCCTGCCTGTCGCAACAAAGTAATAAACGATCCTTAATCACAATCTATAAATTAATTTTCCTAGAGAGTGGTCTTGAATCAAGCTGTCCATCAGCTTTATCCGGTGTAGGGTCTCTCCGCACCTGCGTCAAATCTCGCTCAATGGGCGGCTGTATACGTCAAGTGAGCAATCAACATCACACAAACAGGCGTGTTGAGTCATAACAGTTCGGCTGTGTTATACCAATATATGCCTACGAATAAATGAAATCAGGTCATTTTGATACTTATGTATCGTGCACCATTCAAAAGAAGCAATAATTTTTTTTCAAAATCTGTGTCAAATTCTGTCTTAAAGAAGTCTGTATGCGAACAGTTCTATTTTTATCGAAACATATAATATTTAAACAATAAATAATATATCGATATCTTTGTTGATTTGAGACCATATGAATTAACAGCAATTACACCATGTACTGATTAGAGATATCTGCATGGAAAGACCAAAACATGGCCTTCAGCCATTCATTATGATTGCAATCGCCCGAACACAAATTAGCATTGTGGTGAAAAAGAAAAAAAACACACACGTCAGTATATAAGGCCAAAACGAAANTATGTATTATGGTAACATATTGTGTTGATCGAAACCACTATTTGAACATAATTAACGAATTTTTTAACTAAGATTATAGTCGTAACGTTTGTCATAGAGCATAGTGAGGTTACAATTATTGTCATTCTGCAATGTAAACATTAAGATAACAATGATAGGAAAACGGTGTTTAGTTTATCTACAGTTTGTTTCAAACGAAATTCCGAAAATTTGTTTAAATAACCTTCTAAAGTATTCAACAAGATACCCCTGACAAATTGTAAAAGATCACGTGGACAACATTTTCTTGTAATTTTTTCTTGCAAGCAATGTTGTATTTAGAAAGAGATGTTTCAATTATATTGACTACAAGCTATTTACATCCTCGTTTGTTAGTAAACATGTCAGTATTATAAGGAAAGGAAAGTACGCCAAAATATCATCTTTACCACATATTTTTGGCATGATTTAAGTTGATCTTGAAAAAAGAGAGTTTTAGATAGGGATACCGGTATATGAATAATTTTAGTTTGGAAAAAGTCCTCGTATGATGTATACATTGCCAGAAGTAATGAGTACCACCAAGTAAACATGGATTATCTCCATTGTCACAGTTACGCTGTATGAAATATACAAGTCCTTTCCTACAGCTGTACATGTCTAACTCAACAGTTAATTTGACCGATTTTTTCACTCGGGGGAAAAACAAATGTACCGTATTAAAATGAGAGTCCAATACCTTGACAAAGTAAGCACTTATAAATCAAAATAAACATAGAAAGTATGATACTCGAATAATGTTATAAAGACTGGCCATCAGAAATCAACAGTCCGTTGATTTCACTCTGAGGTAGAAATTTGTCTAACATCTTTTCCTTGACCACCTCTGATTTGAGACGATATGTAACACTCGTACACTATAAAAGTAATATTTGTACACACAGTGCATTTATGGCAGAATACAAACATACAAACGTGTGCTTTGGACTTGTTGATTGTGGAAAAAACGGCATTAAGTATATGTTTTCACACATAACCCTATTCCTAAAAACAAAGAAGTGTACTTATACACTGCCTCATAATGTCGTTAGCCCCTATTTTTCAAACAAGATAATAATGTATAAAAAACATACTGTAATGAAACCCCTCTAGACTGATGGCCTTTTGTACCCTAAACGTCGATCAATCTCTCCGCTCGTCTATTTGTTAGAAATTGTGACAGTGCACAACTATCCATACAGTTTAATGTTTACGGTGTAATGCTCTCCCTATACCGCCATTGTCGAATCGTCTTAATAATTGATCAGGGGTGTGCTTTCGGTTTCAGGCCCGATTGAACTTATCACGGAGCGCCATTGTGGCTTTTGACATTTCCGGCAACGATATATCGACCTACTGAGTTTACCGTGTGGAATCACACGTACTGTGCAAGACATATATCCTGTGTCTAGAATTTCCGGATGTAAGATAATCATGTTCAATTCATTTGACTTTGGATGAGAACAAATAGAATACCGTAAATAATTTAATTGATGTAGCTGTCACGAATTTTGTGTGAGAGTATAATACGATCTGTATCTAAGGCTTTTTGTGGTTCCTGGCAGACTTTCGGGCTACGTTTGGAAGAGGTTTAAGCGTTGAATTCAGAAAAAAATTAACATAGGAACTAATCTCACAAACAAAATTAAGATTTATCGTAATCAAACAACCGTTGATTCTGACACGCATTAAATATATCGAAATGGTGTACAATTGTATAGTCAAAGTGTAATTGTGTATTAATGCAATGCCTTACTTTTATTTATAAATATATCGTAGACGTTACTTCCAATTAGCATTAGCTAGATGGACCTACATCACTTTACAGTCATGTGTAGTAATTAACGCATTATCCTGTTTGGCGTCAGAGAATCCACTAAGGATCAAATAAGTGTTAGCAATTGAGGTAAAGTATCTGTACCATGGAATCGAAGATCGTCCATTTTGTAAGCATCACTTCACGTACTCCTTCATAGTCTTAGTTTCTGTTTAAATACATTTAAAGTAGTTTTTATTGTGAAAAAGAATGAATAAATAAAATAAAGGGAAAATAAATAAAAACTGCTACTATACTTAAGTTTCAAATTTTTAGAACAACGGAGTAGGGAAAGCCTATCGATAAGTTTTGCGTTATACACAATCTTGGCACGTGTCAAACGTGTAGCAATGTTTCAAGACCGACTGGTGACACTGCCAAGGACTCAGCGACACGTTTGGTACGTGCATTGTCGGATTTTAAAGTACAATTTTTGATACAAGGAAACACAAATCAAACTTTTAGTAAGTCTAGTTAGAAAGTCAAACATTTTTAATGCACCATATGATAATTTCTGCCATTTTGAAATCATAAGGAGCATCAGTGGCCAAGTGGTTAAGGCGTCTGACACTCTGCTGCCACTAGCCCTTCACCACTGGGTCGCGGGTTCGAGAACGATTTGGGGCAGTCACCAGGTACTGGCCGTAAGTCGTTGTTTTTTTCTCCGGGAATCCCAGCTTTCCTCCACCACCAAAACATGGCACGTCCTGTTAACAGGAAGTAAAACATAAACAAACCAAACAAACCTACTTAGAACTCATAAGGTGTACAGTTAAATTAATTAATCAAAATCCATATTTAACGTGTCACGAGATAAAACTTGTGAGATAATATAATCACTGGAAATGCGGAGCGATCAATCACGTATCAAAAATGTATCAATTTGATGCAGAAAACCAACCAAAGACAACATGTCAATGTACCATTGGGCCAGTTTGTCCATTCAGAACTGAACAGCGGTAGTAATAAAGGTCAAAATAATTTAAATTATTTTTGTAAAGTATTCCAAAACATATGTAGACAAAACAAGGGAAAAGTGTATATAAAACCTTTTATACCTTTATAGATTTATAGAGATAGGCTACAGCAAATAGTTGATACTTGAAACTAGTATTACAGGGGTAAAATGAAGCTTCAAGGCTACGGCCAACGTTAATCTCGAAAACTGATAGCCCACCACCAGACAAGAACCCTGTTGCATGATAAATTCACTCGAAATACGACGTTACGATGCTGTATAACGCCAAACAAAAAGTATTATTACCAATAGACTATATAAATCATAATAAGTCATTTTTATTATACCTCTACTTATTTTACACTATACAAAAGTAACCACATAAACAAGCTATTTCCTTTCTAACTGCATGCCAGGGAAATAGTTCGTCTGGATGGGTGCGATAGTTTTTGTAATATCCAGTCCGCTACTTTGTACCATTCCGTAATATTACCCACTTGATTGCTATTCTGTAATATGGACCAACCGGAAGTATGATTAAAACCATGCACATGGAACAAGATTGTTGAGTCTGAATGTTAAGCCGTAGTTAATGATGGCATTAGACATGCCATCAACACATAAACACTACAGTTTGGCGACGAGGTCGGGATCAGAATGACATCCCTACCAATATTTCCTTCGTTCGATACCGAAAGCGACAAAAGTAACGCTGGCCCAAGATGGGATCGGTGGATATAGGGCGTTTAGAGAATCTGCTCGTGGCCCTGGACATTACGGACGAGGATGAAAATGATAGAAAAAGAGCACTCCTGCTTCACTATGCGGGTGAACGTGTGTATGACATATATGAGGCCGAAAAAGGAAAAACCGAGCCGTCATATGGAGCCACCAAACAGGTGCTCACGACATACTTCAAACCCAAGAAAAAACAACAAATGGAATTATACACCTTCAGAAGCTATAAACAGTCAGAATCGCAAACTCTTGACGAGTATGTCACCGAATTACGACGACTAGCGAAGGATTGTGGATTTGCAGACACGAATAAGGAGATTCTGTCACAGGTCATCCAGCACTGTAAGTCCAACAGACTCCGGAGAAGGGCACTCCGCGAGCCTGACAAAGACTTAAATGGAATTCTAACACTCGGTAGAACACTAGAGTTATCCGATGTCCAAGCTACAGCAATGGAACGGGACCAAAGTGCGAGTGTTAACGCGGTTGGTCGTGCACAGTCCGAACACAAACCGTTTAAAAGAAAACAACACAGATCGTCCAACTTCAAGCGTGGTACACCCAAACAAGGTGAGTCCGATAAAAAGTGTATGAAATGTGGAGGATCATACCCTCACCATGGAGACTGTCCCGCTAAAGGCCAGACTTGTCATTCATGTGGTAAAAGTAACCACTATATGAAAATGTGTCGATCCCGTGTCAACAAGCCTACTCACAAGGGCCAGAATCGAAATGTGAAAGCTGTTCAACAGGACACTGGCCATGGTCAATCGGTTAGTTATGATGCCCGATACCAAGATGGCGAGACGGACGACGATGACCGTTACTGTTATGGAATAAAGGAGACTTTGACAAATTCCGAACAGGTGAGATTTGTAAACGAGGCTCCCAACTTCACTCTAAAAGTGAACAACAGACCACTGAGAGTATTGTTAGACAGCGGTTCCTCAGTCAATATACTTGACGAAACAGCATACGAGTGTATGGGTAGGCCGCCTATCACCCGTGCTAGTAACAGGCTGATACCGTACGGTGGTGGTAAACCGTTATCAGTCCTGGGAAAGTGTGATCTTGGTGTAGAAACGAACAAACAGTTTGACACTTTGACATTCTATGTTGTGAAGGGACATAGGTACGGATCCATCCTAGGGTATCCATCAGCCCGTAATCTGTCACTGATCCATGTTGTGAGTGAAATCGCAGAGGATGTTGATAAACAAGTGGAGACAGAGTTCCCTGGAATCTTCAAAGGTATTGGGAAATTGAGAGGGACACTGGTGAAATTACACATTGACCCCAAAATACAGCCGGTCGCTCAACGACATCGTCGTACACCATTTCATCTCCGGGACAAAGTCAAGAAGGAGATTGACAAGTTAGTTGAGGGTGACATCATAGAAAAGGTGGAGGGTACACCAACACCCTGGATTTCCCCGATAGTCACACCGCCAAAAAAGGACCCGGACGAAATTCGGCTATGTGTGGATATGCGAGAAGCTAACAAGGCTATTCAGCGTGAACGCCATGTCTTACCTACCATGGATGAGCTTATACATGATCTAAACGGCGCCACTGTATTCAGTAAGCTCGATTTACGTAGTGGGTATCACCAGCTGGAACTCGACCCAAAATCAAGGTGCATAACTACTTTCAGCACACACGTCGGAATATACCAGTACAAACGTTTAAACTTCGGTATATCTTCCGCGTCTGAGGTATTCCAAGAGACTATCAGACAAGTTATACAAGGCATCGACGGTGCAAAGAACATTTCTGATGACATTTTGATATTCGGTCGATCGAGAGTGGAACACGATGCAGTTCTTAGACAGGTGCTTCAGAAAATAAGTGACTCTGGTTTGACTCTAAATGGGAGAAAGTGCGAATTCAGGAAAGACAGCATTACATTCTTCGGTGTTGTATTCAGCGGAGCTGGTATTTCACCTGACCCTAGCAAAGTAACAGCTGTGAAGGAATTCAGCCAGCCCCAGAATGCTAAAGAAGTGAGAAGTTTTCTAGGCATGACTTCCTATTCATCACGATTCATTCCGGACTATGCAACAATTTGTGAGCCAATACGTAATCTCACTCACCAAGATGTAGAGTGGAATTGGTCAAAAGATTGTGAACGTGCATTCAACACACTGAAAGATAGACTATCGAGTGAAACTGTTGTAGCCTACTACAATCCCGAAATTGAGGTAGAAGTGATGGTTGACGCTAGTCCGATCGGTTTAGGTGCGATAATGGTACAGCGACATCGAGTTGTGTCATACGCGAGTCGAGCCCTGACATCTGTAGAATCGCGATACAGCCAGACAGAACGTGAAGCGTTAGCTGTTGTCTGGGCATGCGAACACTTTGATATGTACTTGAGAGGTTTGTCACACTTCACAGTGATCACGGATCATAAACCCCTAGAACGTATATGGGAGAAAACCAAACCACCGTTGCGGATAGAACGATGGGGACTTCGGTTACAACCGTACAAATACACGATCAAATATATGCCAGGAGACAAGAACATTGCAGACTACATGTCTCGACACCCCATAACCTCCAAGGCCAGTGAATCGCGAGAGCAGGAGATTGCGGAGAGCTATGTAAACTTTATAGCGTCGGAATCTCTCCCAGGGGCGATCACATTAGACGATGTGAAAAGAGGCACATCTCAAGACAAAACCCTTTGTACAGCGATCGAGCTTGTGAGGAGTGGGAAATGGTATATGTTAAAAACCATGGAGAATCACGACGACATCGTCGACATGGAAGAATTGACCGCTCTGAGGAGTGTCAAAGATGAACTTACTGTACATTCCGAGAATGTACTGCTGCGAGATAGTAGGATCGTACTCCCAGCAAATCTCAGAAACCGAGCCGTGTGTTTGGCCCACGAAGGTCATCAAGGTATTACGCGAACCAAGTCATTCATAAGGTCGAAAGTCTGGTTCCCTGGGATAGACAATCGCGTCGAGAAAGTTATACAGGATTGTATACCGTGTCAGTCCATGACTCCGGAACCGAGAAGTAGGGTACCGCTCAATATGTCCGAGCTGCCCACTGGTCCGTGGGAAAGTCTAAGCATAGACTTTTGTGGCCCATTACCCTCCGGAGACTACCTGTTTGTAGTTATAGACGAGTATTCGAGATACCCAGTTGTAGAGATCGTGAAGTCTGTATCCGCGAATGCCAGTATACCGGTTCTAGACAGAATCCTTAGCACTTTCGGAACACCTACAATAATCAAAAGCGATAACGGCAGTCCGTTTAATTCATACGCATTTGCCAACTACGCCCAGAACATGGGTTTCGAACACCGACGAGTCACACCGCGATGGCCCAGAGCAAACGCGCAGGCTGAGAGCTTTAATAAGCCGCTCATGAAAGTTATACGTGCAGCACATGTCGAGGGAAAAAACTAGAAGCAGGAGATGTTTCAATTTCTACGACAATACAGAGCAACCCCCCACACATCAACAGGATTTACTCCGTATCGTGTGATATTTGGTCGCGAACCGAACACCAAATTACCGGTGATCAAGACCCTGTCACTGATGAGCAGGTGAGGAGAAGTGACAGCGATGCGAAGTTCCGTATGAAATCTTACGCCGACAGTAAGAATTGTGCTCGCGAGAAAACGTTAGTCAAGGGAGACACTGTGATGTTAAAAAGAGACTTCAAGGGAAACAAATTGTCAACAATATACGACCCTAGACTTCGTACAGTGACCAACACAAAAGGACCGATGGTCACAGTCACAGGAAATGTGACAAGGAACATATCAAGGTTTAAAAAGATTGACTCTCAGCATCCTAGTGCGTCCTTTGACGATGAAGTGGAGGAACTGGAGGAGACACCTTGGATAGTAGATACGCCACAAACCACAAGTCCCGTTAAGCCGAATACTCCAACAAAACCGAGTCATGAGGCGATCGCGAACAAACCGACTACTCCGTTGCCATTACCCAGTATGTCGAAAATCAGAGAACGTAGGGTAACCAGGCAACCGTTGCGATTCCGAGACTATGAGTGTTAGTGTTACTTACTTTGGGGCACAATATTCCCCACAGATACATTTATAATATTTTGTAACAGACCTAGCTGTGTTTGGGGCATAATAATCCCCACAGGTCTCTAATGGATCAAAAAGATTCGTTTAGTTGAGTTATTAGTTTAATTTTTATGTTTAAAATGACATTGTGTACGGTTTCGCATAATCATTATATCGCGACAAGTTTTCGTGACAGCGTTTATTATATCGAACAATGTAGTTTGTATTTAAACGACAAAATACTCTATATTGACGATTACGAACAATTAACATAAAAAATATTGTGCAAACGATTGGAACTAAGAGACAGACTTTTCAAGTGAAACAGAACAGTGACAATATTGGTTGTGATCAAAGTATTTTATTATTGGACAATTCAGAAAACAAACTTTGACAAAGTTAACAATTTATAAAGATAATTATAACAGTAAGAATATTAAAAGAAACTGATATAATTTTTGAAAGTAACAATTATATTATATAATGTTATATATTTCTATTCCATAGAAAAGGAGGGATGTAATATCCAGTCCGCTACTTTGTACCATTCCGTAATATTACCCACTTGATTGCTATTCTGTAATATGGACCAACCGGAAGTATGATTAAAACCATGCACATGGAACAAGATGGTGTTTGTTGAGTCTGAATGTTAAGCCGTAGTTAATGATGGCATTAGGCATGCCATCAACACATAAACACTACAGTTTTGAAACCAAATCCCTCGGAAAATGCGGGAAATTGAGTGACGTCGTGAGCGGGGCCTGACCGAATATTGACCAATCAGCGCAATCGAATTACGTCGGCAATTTCCGGGTATTTCGGGATATAGCAAGTTTATGTTCCCCCTCATCCAGGACTATTTCCCGAGGCGAAGCTTACAGGAGACTGAAACTATCCTGGCCTCGGGGGATCATAAACTTGCTATATCCCTCATACCCATACTTTAACAGTTAATTGACTGTTTCTGGCTTTTTGTCCAATTTCGGCTGTAGGGGTGAAATAGTCAAAACTAATATCCATGTCAAAGCGAATTATTACCCAATAGTCTATATAAATGATAATTAGTCATTTTTGACTTTTCTTGTCTTTTGTCCAATTTCGGCTGTAGGGGTGGAACAGTCAAAACTGTTTTCCCGGTCAGACCGAACTGTTACCCGGTGAGAACTAGATGCGCAGAAATCCCCCCTCGAGAGCCCCATTCAAGCGTTTCGGTGACCGCGACTCAGTGTTGAAGCAATGGCATTGCATGCATCATTGATACTAATATTTATTTGGTAATAAAACAATTGTTTCAATGCTATTTGGGGAACAGTCAAACAATCATCCCTCGGTAGGGATGATAGTTTTGACTGTTGCCGAAATAGCCATGAAACAATTGTATAATATTTAACTGCACCGCATGGCCATTTCGATCCATTTAGCAAACCTCAGCAGTAATACAGTCCAAAAGACCTAAAATGTTTGTCAGTGCGTTCCTGTATAACATTACCAATAAATAACTTCACGGTACAGATGATGATAATCTTTTAAACTAATGAATATTTTAGAGAAAAAGAAACGAATGACGCGTATGCTATCCAATTTACAGCATATACTACAAAGGGGGACATTAATATCATAGTCATCTTAGCTTTCCTGCTATTATGATACGTCATGCCCGGAACGTGTGTGGTCCGGTGTCCTAATGCCGCTGCCCAAGGTTAAACCTGTAAATTGAAACTACCTTATTAGCTAGCACTGCTTTATTTAAGGAACGCCGTACTAATGTCAAACGTACTGGAGTCTGGGTTTTGTTCGGCAGGAATACTAGGACATGTATATCATTTCTGAAATGAAAATAATTTCTTGCGCGACTTTTATGAGGGAAAATAAAGATGAAAGAACGAAAATATAATCAACAACAGTGTTCTAAGAGTAAAAGTTCAGCCTGGCTAGACAGGTATTCGAACCGTGGACCTGAGATTGGTATACTATCGCTCTGACCGTTTTAGCTACCTGGTCAACACAATTCCCTTACAGTGCTACTTTTATATCCAAATGGAAGGTTAGGAAGGTTACTGAAGACAGAAAAAAACACGAATCATGGGGACAGTCGTCCTTAAGAGATCAATTTTCATCAGTTTTATCCTTACCCGTACCATTGTTTGTCTAACTTTCTGAACAGTCAAAGGAGGTCGACAGAAATGAATATCAACTTTTTTACCCAGTCCCGCCTTACCCGGAGCGGTCCTTAGTCAATATAATTATAAGTGTGCCGGTCGACCTGTCCGAGGTCGTCGTGTGCTGACTGACAGGTGCTGGGATAGCAATAAATACTGGTCCTCCAGCATCAGCAGTCAGTGTGTCGCTCAGTGCTGGAAGTATAGCGCAGGGCAGTGTTATACATCGTGGGCAATATAGGATATGTATCAGTTACAAATGCATTACTGCTACTGATATAGGATGCTGTTGTTCTGTGAGCTATACTGTATAGCCTGCATATTGACATTATAAAACGTTTTAAGTGAAAATCGCCACTTAAACCATTAATATGAATTTCCTGACCAGAGTACTGTCGTTTGGTTTGTTGCTACAGACAGCACTGTCATTGCCCAGCTACCGGTACCACACCACTTTGGACACGGGTGGACAACTGACCTTGGATTGGGACGTGGACAGGGTCCAGCAGAAGGTCAAGTTTCGGTTAACCGCCAAACTTGACCATCACAAAAACAGGTGGTTCGGTCTTGGTTTCTCGGACTACGGAATGATCACCGACGCCGACTTTGCTGTATATTGGACGGACACAAGAGTTCATCACTTCCAGGTGAGTGGTCATTATATAGGTGTTGTGACAGGGCGTTCACGCGCTTTGTCGCCAATAAGACATGTGTATATGCATGTGTCATAAAGATTGACTATATATTATTGCAATATTTATATGATTTTAAATATCTTTTTCTTAAAATAGAAACTCTATTCAACAACGATCATGAAACAAGTTATTTCAACTTATATTGATCACTTTTGTTGTCGCGCGGGGGGTTATAATATAGGAGAAAAATCGGGATACCCGGAGAAAACCCACGTGGTCGGGAAGGTGAGCCAATACATTTAACACGTCCGATCGGAGATACGGACCCCGGCCGTCTTAGTGAAAGTGTGTTTTCCACTGCTCACCCGATCACCCAAAGCTGTTATTTTGGAGTTAGTATGCAAATTTTTCTAGCATGGCATTAAAACTTAAATTACATATTTGAATACATCGCGAGTGTTTTTCAAGAACACAAGTTTTTAACAATGATGTGATACACATATGGTAAGTAGCCCGTGTGATGCATCCATTAATAGTCTTAGAAACTCATCTGATATAACCACTGTTGTACATGCTTATATTTGATGACATCTGGAAATCATATGCTTCCTTGTCTCGTGTCTTAATGACAATCATACGATGGCCGACAAGAGCCTGACAAAAAGATATGAATTTTCATATCTTTTTGTACCATGGTACACTTCTACATGGTACACAAAGATATTAAAATTCAAATCTTTGTGTACCATGTAAAAGTTTACCATGGTACACAAAGATATGAAAACAGAAATAAAATCAAGCCGTTGCTTTTGTATCTTTCTGTACCAAAATAACGGCCGAAAACAGCCATGGTACAGAAACATGTGAAACCATCAGACGTAAAGGTTACCAAGTATGACAAATTACACCCTGATAAGGCTGTCATCACATACAATGAAATGTTATCGCACGGAATGTCTGTTATTTTGATTACACCAAATGAGCTACCAAACTATTACTTACTCATTTAAATTGAAATCAACTGTTCAATATCCTTTACCGAATTTTATAAAAGTTTTACGTAAAAAAGGAAGTCATTATGGATTATTTTTCTAATACTTACATTTCGAATGTATTCTATTTGCTTCAACTTCTCAAATGAAAGAAACTCCAAATCAGTTGAAAACGCCGACGGGGTCCGTATGGGACAAGGGGACAAAAGGGGACAATCAATTTAATTACTTCGAAGGATAAATAGTCTACCCTTTTATATTTTTTGGGGGGAAATACGATGAGCTAGTTGTACGATTCTTTTATAATCTGGACATCTGTCAAAACAAGGGAAATGACAAAAATATACAGATGTTCTTTTTCCCTTTTGGAGACCCTGTCAATGCCACAATACTTACACAATTGCAACTAACTCTGATTTTCATCAGCAGTGATTAATGAACTTCACGTCTTGTTTCGACTTTGTAATTAGGGCTTCACTATTCGGGGTCAGTTCTGGTGATAGTGTCCGATAACAACATTCCGATGCTCTAGTGGTACACTTCGTTCATATCTATTTGTAACGTAGGTGGTACAAAAAGAAATGAAAAAAGTGTAACGCGGTACTAAAAGGAGAGAAGCTTTCATATCTTGTTGTACCGGGCAAACGTGTACAGAAAGATATGAAAATTCAAATCATTTTGCCGGCTGATGTCGGCTGTTGGTACATATACATGTGAAAGTAAAGAGTTTTTTTTGTAAAGTTGTTTATAATCTTTATGTACCATGGTACACTTTTACATGGTACACAAATATTTGAATTTTCATATCTTTGTGTACCATATGAAAGTGTACCGTGGTACAAAAAGATATGAAAATTCATATCTTATTGTCAGGCTCGTGTCGGCCATCGTACAATCAACAATGAGTAACGAAACATGATGTAATTTTAGATAGTAGGATCTGCATAACGATAAATTCAATATTAAATGATAAATGAATCTAAAAAGACAAGCAGATATATAGTATTAACATGAAATAAACAAATTTCCTTTTACAGGTATGGTCATGTCTGTTCTTGATTTTATTATACATGTGCACTCCTTTTTATGGTCATAGGCAATTTCTCTTCCTTTTACTGTCTCCACATTTCCTGTCGACCGGATTTCATCATTTTTGGTTGTCTTTCTTACATTCTACACACACATACATGTACACGCCATGTGCAGTGTTATTGACATGCACATGTTATCAAATGAGAGACATACAATGAGTTAGTCTAAGGGCTGAAAGGTCTTTCACAGTAATTTTAACATTGTTTTTAAACAGTAGGATTGTCATAGTGGCATATTGAATCGAAAATATTTTCTGCCATTTTTCTATCATTTGTAACACAACACGCGACACTGATGTTAAATAAGATGATTTTCATTGATATCAATCCATTTGTATGCATGTTGTCCCCATCATTGGTCCTCCCCTGTTACGGACCGTTATCGTGCCGGATTTACAATCGTCCTCCCACCTGACATGTTCCAGGAGACAAGCAGGCTTTCGTTATGCTTTATTTGCAAGTTAAATCGTCCTCTGAGCATCATAAACATGAAATGTAGCAAATATTAATATCACATTTAGTCTATAAATTTTGTGCATAACGATTTCATGTCTGCGCTTCTGTTTTTATGTTTTGAATTTAATATCAAGTGCTATTTTCTGACGTTTTTATTATGCTTTTTTGCATTCTAATATAATCAACTTGTACTCTTTATTCTATGCAGGTAATTCTATTACATGTGAAACAAATTGATGGAAAGCACTGTATTTCGTTATAAAATTCTGTCGACGTTTGACCAATAGCACTTGGATGAACTGTTGGAAAACTAGTTATGTTATTTGTCATACATATATCTTCATAGAAACAGTGACATAAAATAATGACATCATACTAACACTTAAACTTCACTTAACATTGTCCGTATAAAACGCTTCTTAATCTTTACTTTACAGTGTCATTATAGAACACTTCTTAACCTTTACTTTACAGTGTCATTATATAACACTTCTTAATCTTTACTTTACAGTGACATTATAGAACACTTCTAAATCATTATTTTACATTGTCATTATAGATCACTTCTTAATCTTTACTTTACAGTGTCATTATAGAACACTTCTTAATCTTTACTTTACAGTGTCATTATAGAACACTTCTTAATCATTACTTTACAGTGTCATTATAGAAAACTTCATAATCTTTACTTTACATTGTCCATATAAAACACTTCTTAAACTTTTACTTTACATTGTCCATATAAAACACTTCTTAAACTTCCACTTAACATTGTCCGTATAAAACACTTCTTAATCTTTCCTTTATATTGTTATTATACAACACTCCTTAATCTTTACTTTATATTGTCATTATATAACACTTCTAAATCACTACTTTATATTGTTATTATATAACACTTCTTAATCTTTGATTTAGATTGTCATTATATAACATTTCTTAATCTTTATTTTACATTGTCCGTATAAAACACTTATTAATCTTTCCTTTATATTGTCATTATATAACACTTCTTAATCTTTACTTTACATTGTCATTATATAACATTTCTAAATCATTACTCTACATTGTCATTATATAACTCTTCTTAATCTCTACTTTACATTGTCATTATATAACACTTCTTAATCTTTACTTTACATTGTCATTATAGAACACTTCTTAATCTTAACTTTACATTGTCATTATATAGAGAATAATGCATGCCTTTTTCCATATCACACCCAGTATCAACCCGAGACTGCAATATCAGCACAAGGGCCGAAGGCCCGAGGGCTGATATTGGTCGAGGGTTGATACTGGGTTTGATATGGAAAAGGCATGTTTTATTCTGTTTATTACATACTTACTAATAAAAGCTACTATTTTATGATCTATTTTTCTTTTGAAATATTGAAAAACGAAAAAAATCCAAAAGGGGTGTGATACGGGTTTTGCGGGCTGATACGGGTTTTGGGGTGTGATACGGGTTTTGCGGGTGATACGGGTTTTGGGGTGTGATACGGCGGGGCAGATACGGCTTTTGGGGTGTGATACGGCGAGTGTTGATATGGGTAGGAGCAATTGTGTCGTATCGCATATACAAAAAAAAACGTATTTATAAGTATTTATGTAATAAAGAACACTTCTTAATCTTTATTTTACATTGTCATCATAGAACACTTCTTAATCTTCACTTTACATTGTTATTATAGAACACTTCTTAATCTTCACTTTACATTGTCATTATAGAACACTTCTTAATCTTCACTTTACATTGTTCGTATAAAACAATTCTTAATCTCCACTTTACAGTGTCATTATAGAACACTTCTTAATCTTTACTTTATATTGTTCGTATAAAACACTTCTTAAACTTCACTTTACATCGACATTTTATAACACTTCCTAATCTTTACATTGTTCGTATATAACACTTTTTAATCTTTACTTTATATTTTCCGTATATAACACTCCTAATCTTTTCTTTAAATTGTCATTATATAACATTTCTGCTAATTCCTCAGAATTCATAACCACGATTCGATCTTTTCATTTTAATCAGTGATTTAACCATTTCTGCATATTGCTTGCTTAAATATATAAAAGTGATTGTAAGCCTTTGTTTTTTGTTTTCACAATTATAACCATAACTATTATCCATATGTTGTAAAGCGCTTTAGAGGTTTTTTTACAAATAATATAAGGCGCTATATAAATGTTGTATATTATTATTATTATTATTTCTATGCGCAATTTAGTAATTACTATCATATCATATATCCCACCGACATTGTGACACATGGAATTCGCCGGTATATAATCTGTTTGATTTTAGAGCATACAAAAAATCTTTATTTGATGTCGCATATTTAAAACAATAAAAATTACCACTAAAAGACTATTATTGCCACAATCATTTTGTGCAAATAACAATTAGCAACATGCGGAATTCATAAGGTGAAGTTAAGAAGTTGCTATCACATATCACAGG